TAATGTAAGAGAGATCGAGTGTAAACGAGGGTATCGGATTTGAACACAAGTTTACCCAGAATAATAATACAAGATGTCAATGAAGACAGGGAGTCCGCACGAAAGATCACAATATGGCAAATGTATGGATTGTTTTCACGTGACGTAAACTAAAATAAGCTGGACTTCTATACCAAACAATCACACACGACTTTTATATTCTATATTTAGTTATTTTTCATATTAGCCATATGAAAGGAACCCCTAAAGATGGCCCATGAAAGCCGGAATGCATAGAACAAAATATAAAGTCTAGTTAATAAACAGTTGAATCTACTGGTATAATATTAAAGTCGATTTGTGTGAATAAGGAGGTGGCGTACTAGAAAATAGTACTGTATAAATAAATATTTAATGTCTTATTTTTGTTATATAGTTTTTAATATCGTAATAGAGTGAAACATTTTTTGGGTCATCCTGTTGCTCTGACCATCTACTGAATAGACCACGAGGAGATCAAAATTGATTTCAAGAAAGAAACCACTTCCCTGCACGTTCGTCCCCATTTCGCTCTTGTGCTGCGTGACAAGAGAAAAATGCGTGATAAATCGAATTGCCAGGGCTCACAGCACCCCCGAAAACATTGATTTTTCTTTCTACCTTCGTAAATTGCACACTCGCGTGGCAAGTGGTGGAGCTTTTCCGGATGTACCACGCTCCCTGGCTGCAGTAACCACACACCACACCCACTCGGCCAGGTTCTGGGCTACTCAACAACTTCTGCCACGTGTCGGCCTGCAATCGATCTTCATATCTAACTTCAGTCAGATTCCAATTAGCACTCTTTATGCTGCATTCTAGATATCCCTTCAAAACCGGCGTTTCATCTCTGTACATTTATACCGGTTGATGGTTTTGATAAAAATATTTGGTTTAAAATCTCTTTATACTTTGAGTTCATCATTTTCATCATCTCAGAAACTGAATTTTAAGTTCTGGCCTTTCATGGAATTACAAAATAATGTGTTTCTGCTAAAAATGTCAGCGTGGATAATTTTATCACATTTATTACTCATTGTGGAAATTAATGTGACAATCATTCTCAAGTTTTTAGACAACTGAACTCCTCAGAGCTAAGTTGGTACAAATCAAATTCTTAAAACCTAACATAAAATTAGGTTTCTCGTTAATACCGAATAAATAACATAGAGAAATTTAGCGTGCTTTCTATAATATATTATTAGCCCCAGAAAAAATGGTTTAATTGATTAGAGAATAAATTGTAAGTATACACCTACTTCTTTCTACACATTTGTTGACTTATACCACTTTAGCTCTGGTCAGCTAAACTGCATATTACTAAACTTATTTTGTTGTCTTAAAACACAGAAAATAAAAAAGAACTTAATTGAATTTTTAATTTTTAATATTAACACTGAAATTAGTATAGCTAGAAACTGATGTGATGTCGTTGAAAGATGTAGACAGATCGTAATGAATATCTGGAAACTTGAGAAAATAATTTTGTTCACAATCTTCCATTTATTAATTTACGTAGATGGGTAGTAAGTGAGTACGTTATTTATAAGTCGGTCTGCAAGGTTTTCACATCAAAATATTTATCAACAATTTACGCAGCTACTCAGGTTAGACAATTCTTCATATTTCTTATGCATAATTAACTTATTTCTAGGAAGCGTACTTAAGCTTTGTAGACTTTGTCGTTAAACACAAATTAAAAACGTATATCCTCATTTTTACATCGTGCAGTAGGCGATGTAATGTTTTCTTTCTGAATAATACGCAAAATTTGAAGTTTGTATCGTGCCTACCTTCAGAGCAGACACCCCCCCCCCCCCCCCCCGATCACCTGAATCAACGTACGCACCCTCTTCTGTTAAGTAGACTGTAAGCAGGGAGGGGTGACGGGGTGGCGCCCAATTATTTAAACACTGCGTTGTAATAATCATCAGATCAGCATCGTTTATTTAAGGGCAGTCGTAGAAATATTGCGGAAGGGGAGTAAAGTTTGCCTCACATTAAAAGAAAGGAGGAATTCCAGTGAAACTGTACAGCCGTCTGCAGACGTACTGTTAACAGAGACTTTCATATTTATTTACTTGTAGTTTATTTATCGACTTTATCAGTAGCTCAGATTATATAGCGTAGAATAATTAATATAATTAATAAATTATAAATCAGAAAAATAATATGGAACAAAGTGGTCGTGGTATAATTTAAGGTATTATAAGGGAATTTATCTGGAGAGACGAAGGAAAACCACTATAAACTTAAGAGAGAATAGCCGGTCTCCGGGTTAAGATTTTAATTCCAGAATCTCCCGTAAACGAAACAAGAATTTTAACCATTCAGCTCCTACGTTCGGTAAGACAGGTTGAAAAACTACAACATTAAGCAATTGTAAACATATGAACTCAGATTTGGAGCAAACTTACTTTATAAACGCCTCTATACTGTTATGTATACCTCGTCGGCTTTAGTGTTCAGTTATTGCAGACACAAATATGCTGTTGTACCAAGGGTCTCCGGGAATGAGTCACAAATTCTAAGCTAAAGTTATACTCCTCCGAACGTCGAAAGTAACCTTCAAAACTACAATAGTACCAGAAACCAGAGAACCATTACTGGAATTTCTACCTCCGTTAAAACTTCAGGTCTTAAGTATAATTGCTTTGCCTTAATGAAGCACGCATATTTCGAATTTACAAACACAGAACAAAGCACAACTGTCATCCCCAGAGCTTTACTTTTAGTAATTACTCTATAAACCAAATAATTCGCCCCTGCAATCACTGGCCCCTCTACAGATGTATTAATTATTTAAGTTGACGAAGCCCTGCGCCCAGGGTTTGTCCAATGTGCGTCTGTCTCCACGTCACTCGCTTATTCTCCCCTATCCAAACACACTAACGCTTATTATTTGTATATCACGGGATCAGATGTTGACGGACTGAATGCCAATTCCAGATGTCCGTACAAGAGTAGACTCGCTCTTTTCCTCAGTCTACAGCAAACACAAATAATACATTATTTATTTATACACAAAATTACGTAGCGGACCTTTAACAGTACAGTCAACTCTACAATGTATTAGTTCAGTCTGTACTCTTTTCGTTCTGCTATATCATCTTTTATACATTATTTGATTTCAGGGTGTGGTCGTCTCTTTTTGACAGGGGCGTAAAACGTGCGTCAGTGTCAGTAGTATAAATCGATACAACGGTCATAATTGACATAACACGAGGGCTTCATTTAGCTCTAATTTCCATGGCTAGAACTTAAGAATGGTTTTGTGTCTGGTAGCATTATACTAGCCCCGTTAGAAACCACGCATATGTCAATATTAGTGTTCAGTGTTCTAACACCGTGTAAACACCATGGATTTGGAGAACGCGCCCATAAAGTGTTACAAATCAGATTAACATCGACATCTTCACAGCAGTGAGAATCTAAAATCTCAGTTTTTAAATTTCAGGTTGATGATTTAGGTGTGTTCACTGTCTTCAATAACCATTAATCTGAGTCGGCTTTAGAAGCATTTCCTAACCAAAAACAGTACCGTGCAGCCTCCAGTAAGATCAATATACTTCAACCCACTGAGAATTGTACCTAACCTAACGTAACCTAACCTCCCGCTGAGTGGCCTGCGATGAATGCAGTGCACCCTTCACAAAACGAAACCTTACGATCTCCGACAAGTCTAATCTGCAACAGCCAGCAATTTTCAGTTTTTTTTAAAATCCGAAATCGATGCGAACTTACATATATTTAGCGAGCAGTTCATGTAGCGACATACAATTATTACATTATTAACTAATGCGTATCCAGCGTCCTGGTAGATCCCCTGGCAGAACGACCACATCATTATCCCCGTAACATAATACACAACTCCCTGGTACCATTTAATTTGACTCCATTAAATAAGAAACAAATACAATCACAGTAATTACAAGAATTATGTTTTATTATAGTCATCCGTTATTAAAGTGTTTTCTTGCTTTAATACTTCTGAACACCCAGCAAGTTCTAAAGAGAAGTTTAGGAAACTATACTTCTTCCTTGTTAATATAAATTAATCAAGCTAGAAGATTTTGTCAAAATATATACATATAAAATTATCACATGTATCGCCATTGGTAATACTGTATGTCACCCTGACATTCAATCTTTTGAACTAATACCATTTCAACATGGCGGTCTTAAGAACAGGCTGATAGCCCCTAGAAGATTTCATCAAGGCAATTAAACTTAGAGCAGCAGTAGTGACCATCCATGTCTGGTCCTGAAATGCTTTATAGTAAAAGATCTTCGAAGAAATTCCGTAATTTGCACTTATCATCAAATAGGCTAATTATTAGTACGATCAAACGTAAGATGACTGTGGGCGGGGCATGCAGCACGCACAATAAAATTTAAAAATGAACATAGAAGGAAAACAGCTCTTGGAATATCTGATCGTAGATGTGAGGATAATATTAAAAGGGCTCTTCAAGAAACTGTGTTTGATTGTAAGGATTGAATGAATCTGGCTCAAGGTAGGATTCAGGTGAGAGTCCTTGTAAATCTGTATTTAAACCGGATTTCGTAAAAGCATAGAAATTTCATGATCATCTGAGTGACTGTAAGCTTCTCAAGAAGAACTGTGCTTCGTAGACGTATACTGTGAAAGTGCGACGTTAATACAGTTATCTCAGGTCAGGTCATGTCGATTTGGACATTTGGTTTTAGCGGTGTTAAATATCGTGGTTCTTTCCCCAATGTCATTAAATTGTACTTACTACGTTGCAACACAAATTTTAGTTTAGTACTTGTATTTTTATTACTGTCTTCTAGCTTTGTAATCTGGTAAAAGTTTGCCGACGTTTCATATATGCTTGCTGCCTCCATCATCAGGCAGCAAGCACCTTTGAAAGTCGGCAACAGACGACAGAAGACAGCCATCTTCGTCTCACCGCTGTGTGAACCTAAAATCTCACAAACTGTGGTGTTTTTTCCCCCAGAAAATTATTCTGCCGAAACTCCCGGTGCCAAACTTGGACGAAACTCTGGAACGCTACCTAGCTGCTGTAAAACCAATCGTCAGTGATTCACAATATGAGAAAACGAAAACGATGGTAAAGGCCTTCGGATCGAGTACTGGTCAGGGGCAAAGACTACAAGAAAAGCTTCTGCAGCTTCGGGAGGAACAAGATAATTGGGTAAGCATAATTAAGGCACAAACTAGTAATTTAAAGTGAAACAAAGTAACCATGGTAACCAATGTAGCCTGTGGATTCCCAGTCAGTCACTTCCACGAGCATGTCAAGTGTCCGCCGTTGCTGTTGGGTCTCAACCAACTGCAATGTAATTATTGTCCTCTGTTCCGCCAACCAAATCCGTCTCACCGCTTCGCCAACCACGGCACGCTCTACATTCGACTTCCTAGAATTCCCAATGCACATTCGCCCTGAAGATGACAACTGCAATGTATGCCGAAAGGTTGGTTGTTTTTCAACATTCGATGCGGATCACTTCTCGCTTAGAACATTGTAATAATCGATTCTGTTTCGGTTGTTTTTGCTTTGCCACTGACGTTCACAAAGAAAACACGCCATCTTTTATCGACTACCATTTTGTCTACTCGCTCTTAAACAACGGGGAAACAGAGTGTAAAACACAGAGAGGAGTTCTAAACTCAATTGTTCTGGTAGAATGGTAGGTTTACGTGCTGTTGTTACGAGGAAACAAAAGCTCCCTGCCTTCTCGAAAACTCCAATTTCATGTCACTGGAGTTCAATTTAAATGTAAATGAAAAGTAAAATCTAATTTTTGAAGGGAAAATACGCAGACGCTGAAAGAATTTAAGAAAATCGTAAAAGAAGAAGAGTCTGAAGTAAACGCAGTGCAGGAACAGGTTAGATCATCGCTGTTAAAGTTTTAAAGACAGATGAAACGCATGCACTACATGCACAATCGTGCATCCTACCCCACCTATGTCGAGTTGGGTCTGAAGCTAATCGATGAGAAATATCCGACGTGCACGGCTGATACGTGAGTAACTAACTGTATCTTATGAAGCTAACAGTCACTCAGCTGGTCAAATGGATTTGCAAACTTTAACGGAATCCGAGAGCCCCCATTATTCCATCTTCAGCAACGTGAATCCAATCCACAACCCACGTACTATTTTTAGGACCTATTTTAATCCTGTGCTCCTACGTATGTCCAGCCAGACATTCGCCAATATAGTAATTGAAATTGTGCCACGACCACTTCCTTACAAATAAATTTCCAATTCATTAACCACTAATCATGTCGTTCGGCGTAACACAGTATTAGCAATTGGAAGTTTAGTTCAATAAAACAAAAATAACAAAAACTTACACGCATATATGTACAAATATATTTAAGCGCGCACAGCCTCAACATCCGATATATGGGCAAAAACCTTATTCAACTTCTGCGCACACAAGTTCGTGAAATTTCTTTCCCGATACAACTCTCAGCTGATTAATTACGGAGAGTGCACAAGGCACGAGTGAGTGCCACGTAAGAGTCCCATTCACCAAAGCGCTGCTTCTGTTTCATTTGTTTCTTTACGAGTCGCTTTCCCTTTACCTTACAGTGACGCCTTCCAGGTATCCAAACCCGGCGCACACACAACGAAAAATCAATTTCAATTCGTTATCCCGTTAGTCAGAGAACAGGGCTGTGTGACAGGGGGGAGAGATTATAGTACCACGCCATGTACAAACGGCTTCAAGTAATAAATGGCCCTGATGTACGCATAAGAAATGTATACAACGAACTTTAAATTGACCAGAACGCGCCAACTGCAAATAAGTCAAGTGCCGTTCCTTCCTTGACATTTGCCCACCAATCCACAATAATTGCTACTCTCACAACATCACCATAAGAACCGGTACATAAATGGCGGGTTCTGGGCAATTTACAATTTGGGTTCTCCGCTTTCAATCTCGTTAAAAGATAATACCTTGCAATTTAATATAATTAATTAATTAATACACTATACATTTAAGAGTTGATTATTTCATGATAGGGATCGAAACATTAAATCAGATCTAAAACTTCTTGACGATGGTGAAGAGTCAATTGAATAAAAATTTACTTGGATATTATCCATCGTCTAATAAATATAAAACGTAAAACGACGTTTCGGAGATGGGACTCTATCTCCGTCTTCAGGTTCCTACACAGTTGGGTCCACTAGATAGAGCTAATCCCTATCTCGTTTTGCGTTTTATATTTACTAGACGATGGATAATATCCAAGAAAATTTTTATTCAATTGAAACATTAAATCTTAGTTAGAATAGCTAATATCCAGACCGAGTTACGAACATGGGATTTATGAAATACGAAGTAACGTTCCTCACCTTTGAACGGCGACGTTATATATCGAAGGGTAAATCCGCTGATATTTCTTAAAAAAATTAATTTAATCAAAACGTAGGTTTGTTTTGCTACTGTCTCTGTGAAAAAACTCAAGTTTCACTTTCATGAAAGGTCACCTAAGAAATACCAATGAACCGTGAAAGTGTTTGTAGATTCCGTTGCCCTCTGCTGTGTCATTACATCGCAGTTGGACCTGACTGTATCACTCGCCGCGGTTACTATGAAAATTGTTTGATCATCGACTCGGAAAGTAAATGACATTTCGCTGCTCATGCGAACACATCCCGCATGCCTCAGTCCCCACGACCTGTAATTCAGAGCTAGAGGGAGACAGAAACTCTTCCGCAAACATTAACCCTCAAGGGGTAAGAAGAGGGGAAGAAAACTAGATTAATAAAATAAAAAATAATAATTGGATTTGCCTTAACTATCTTCATGCATCGACTAGCCCGCGGAACCTACAAGTGATGATGTGTAGTATTGATTCCCCTTCCCAAACAGCTTTGTTTTTAATTCAGTTTGCACTGTTAATTCCACGTGAACATAACACATAAAACTTATCAAGTGTATGAAAATTTCCTTTCGTCATTTACAGATTAAAGTTACGAAAATTTATAATGAGTATTTCATAAATTGTACCCTTCATGAAAAATTGGGATGGTTAGAAAACAGAAGAATGCTAGAAAATTAGAGGACAAAACAGAGTATAAAGGAAAACCAGAATAACGAAAACAATGCAAAGGAAAACTAGAAGACAGAAATGGCAGAATTATTCTATTTTGTATTTTAGCTTCAAATACGTATCATGATTATTTAATCGTGGAATGTCGTATTGATTATTACAATAAAATCACAATTCTATAAAAATATAGAGATTAAAAACCAAAATTTCAAAACGTCATTATTCTCTAGGCATGAAATATTATGAATTTAGATCACTTTACACAGTATACATTTTATGTTAACTTCAGGGTCTTACCTATAATATTTCGCATACCATTTTGTAGAATTTATTTCGAAATTGGGAACTCTCAGCAACGAGAAATATCAAAACACAGCACTAATGCACATATTCTTGTTTTTTATTACCCAGAATAACAAATAACTCGAAGACTAGAATTCTTACTTACACCACTAGATGTCAGCATGTGTTAGGTTCTGTCATTTTGTTTCGTCAACGTAAGTAACTAGAATTACATAACCCTGATTTACTAAACGTTAAGCTAAGAAAACCAGCATTAATATGAAAAAAAACACACGACGATAAACAATCCTGTGACTTCCACTTTTAATTTTATAGACGAAAGTACATGAATGAGTGGCCAAAATTTCTAAACCAAATTCTAAGTCTCTGTGGGCGATTGTGAATATTAAAATATTTTATATTTTCGATGGTAAAATGTTTCATTGGCTTCTTACCATCTGCCTAATGTATAGTTTCATCAGACGTCGTCAATCACAAGAATGAGGAACAGTAAATGTATCGACTATCAATCATCGTTCGCTACGTAATTTAAAGACAACATCAGAAGACATCATTAGTGTCAAAGAACAAGATCATTATGAATGTTTAATTGCAAAGAATGTGAGAAGAAGCAGTTATAAGGTTTTGAGATAACCTTCAATCGTTTGTCTGGAATGAATAAAATAAACCTCTATAATGCTCAACAAACGTAGATGTCTCCTGAGCTAGTTTAAAACGAAAAATCTCTGTAATATGGGCTAAAAGCTGTGCCCGTGAAACCAGTTTGTCACTTATCCAGGTTAAGAACACATGTCCTTTCATTTCCAACACGAAAACTTCTGAGTGCAGTCGCACTTAAGCAGAAAATTAAACTTGAAACCTGTCGATTGTGACCTATAAACGTCAATACTACACCATAAGGTTCTTTTCGCAATTATTTATCATGCCAGAGAGGTATAAAGAACTTTGCGTGGGCCGAGGCGGTCAGACACTGGAATATCGCCGCTGAGTACCAGGTTCAATCCCGGGTGACTCTAAGCGGCATTCATGGTGTTCGAAGTAGCACTGGAGCAGACTTATCCCTGCTAAACATCATTCCATCATTTCTCTATACTCATCTATCGCCAAACAGCACATTATTATACCCTCGGTCCCAAATCAGGGGCTTCTGTCATCCGCCACCTAGCTGATAGCGGAAGGAAGGTTATTTTGTTGTAATGCGAGCAGAAACGAACAGCTTATGCTTAATATTTATGTATATTTATGGAAAAACCCGGTTAGAATCTCGACTTGGTCACCAGTATTCCTAAAGTGATACATGGTTTTCCTCAGCACTTCCAGATTAATGCCTACACAGGACCTTCCAGTATTCCTAAAGTGATACATGGTTTTTCTCAGCACTTCCAGATTAATGCCGACACTGACTAAAACTACCTCCTTACGAATCCCAAAGTATTCATGAGACTTGATAGCCTTTACATTTCATCCGATGTTCATATAATCTGCACAGCTGAAACATATAAATAACCTGCGACTATGAGTTAAGAAATTTATATATTCCTCTTTCAAGAACAGCGGACCGAATAGTAAATCCAGTGGTCTATTCTTTTATTGAGACACAAAGCTGCTAAACGTAAAAGAGATACTGTTTCAAAATATGGAATAAAAATCACACATTTTAGCATTGAATGTGTGGGACGACTTGAAATTCTGCAGGTGCCATAAGATGGAGGTGGGACGGAGCGGGGGTAAAATCTCTGTAGCTACTACCGAGCATGGCGGGTGGAAGCCCAATCAGGGGGAACGCTCCAACAGCGCATACTCTGATCATATAGCCAATAGAAACCCAGAGAAATCTGTTCTCTTCACATACATCAACTTCTCTCTTTTGTCCACAATTCCGCCTATTAATACGAATATATATAAAGAATGTTAATGTGTGTGCAATACTGGGAAGAAGCAAAATAACAATACAGCGAAATCCCAAGCGATCTGAATATTTTTACGTTTCAGACAACTTCGGTTTAACAAACTTAGTTACTCCCTGTAGTGTAATTTTGTTTTTTAATACTGTCACGTTGAGAAACGCATTCAGTTCAGATTAAAAACACTGACAGAAGTTGAGTGACGAGAACATTTTGCTAATGAATCACTAAGACCCATATTTGAATAATTATCATTAGTCAAATTAAACGCTTTCCTCGAAAACTTAATTTCAGATAATGTGCTCCTCAGACACTATCTAATGAGATGTATTTTCATATGCCACTTTTATAAATAACTCAGTTCATCGGCATCTTCATATTTATTTCCAAGCTTAAGTATTTCTCTCCTATAAACCTCAGCAGAAGCACAAATTCTATGCAAACCAAATCCAAATTCATGTGAGTGGTTTCGAAACGTCTCAAAGTGTTTTTGAGGTAAGATCTTACAATAAGTCACTCAATTTCAGCTAATTCTTTGATTGCTTAGGATACTATAAACTTCTAAAGGACCAAGTTCGGTGGACAACCTTCTTACAAATCGTTTTACACTTATCACGTGATATAATCCGTTATAGTTAGCGATGACATATATTTAGTGTTAGGTAAGAAGGACTTAAGCCAAATGTAACTTGTACTAACTCTTCTTTTTTTTCCTTTTTCCGGTTTAACAATGTTTCTACATTTTCCTGTACCCTTTACGGGTCACCAACTTTTTCAGTTGGCTTGATCTATAGACATTTAGTAGGACTCCTTGGATGAGGGATCGACCCGTCGCAAGGCCTCTACCTGTACACAGGACAGCACAACACAGAAAAACATCCATGGCTTGAGTGGGATTCGAACCCACGGTCCCCGCGACCAAGCGGCACAAGACCCACGCCTCAGACCGCGCGGCCACTGCGGACCCCACTTGTACTAACTCAAAAAATACATAATAAAATAATACATTAAATCGTAAAAATTGCACGTCATTATCAGATGAATCACACAAACATTAAAATTATGATTAAATATTTTTGATGATAATATCTTGAAGCCGAAACGTTTTTTAACAGAGTAAAGTAAACAAGTAGCAAAGGTGCTTCTGTATTATCATCCCACACGGCATGAAGGATTTTAAGATTGCAGTAGTTAAGCTGGGAACACCATAGTCACAGCGGGGCCCATTTGACTGTTGCAGGCATATACCTGGTGGCTGAACGATATGTATCTCAACAACCCCATTCCTCTGCCCATCAACTCGAACCCCGGAATGGTATTTCCGCCGAGATCATTCCGGTCAGCCTACGACATGGCCAGGTTCGCTGCCCGAATCATGACGGGCATACTCAGCCACAAAGATATTATGGACAGGTGAGTTCTGCCCACCCATACTTACAGGGCAATGTAAGTGGTCATGTCTGAACGAGCACGCAACTACGTCTAGTAGTGAAGGAACAGATTTTGAAGTACACTAACTTTTCAAAGGTAAACACCACACTTCATCATAAATGCGCAGATTATTGATAATGGCGACCACATCCTCACAGAACACGAATTTGACATTCCGTCCGTTTACATTACGCACCGAAGAAAATTAAAAAGAACAATATTCATGTATGTGCCAATTATATAACGTCCATGCCAAATTTCATAAAAATCCCTCAAGTTATTCTCGTGTTATTGCATCAATACTGGCTAATTTCACCTAGACACAGCAACTAATCCTAATCTTATATCGTCAATAAAGGTAATAGCGTTTATAATTCCGCTACTGAAATTAGAAACATTTCACTATGTTTTCTGACAGGTTACGTTAAATTAAAATTATTATTATTTTAGATCTGGTATAGAATCCTTCAACAAGTTCGTCACAAGATGGCGTGATGCCTAAAACACAGCATCGTATACATTAACACCATACAGTAAAGTCATTACAAGAAATATGAATGGCATTATTCGCTATCGACTAGCGATCCAACTTTCCGCCCGTCAGAAGACAAGCTCCGTCACTGGTTTATATTTCATGGAACAAGACTTACCTTTCAGTGCCCACGTCGGGTGTCATTCTGTCGTTTGAACTGCGTATTCGCCTGGATACCATCTGGTCTAACCTCACTTCACAAAACATTACCGTCACGTCACACAGATATACGACTACCTATCACCACTCGCAAGTTCACTTTCGTTTTATTAATACGCAGAGATATACGACTACCTATCACCACTCGCCAGTTCACTTTCGAGTTTATTAATACGCACATCAGACTTTCATTTGTCTGTTAAAATAAACATGAAATAACCTCTATTTGAAAAACTATGCATAATAATGTTGAATATTTATTTATGTTAACTGATAACCTACTACTCACTCAAATAAATGCAGAATGTAAACTAACGTTGCGATCAGTGTCATCATGGTGGCACTAGTGTCGTTAGCTAAGTTTAATGGCGTTTCGTTTTCGAGGAGAAAATGGGCCACCAATGCAAAAATGTGCGTAATAAATTATTAAGTAATTTAAAACATTATTTAGTAAATAATAATTAAAAATTATTTACTTTAATTAATTTATGCGGAGATATATAAATAAGATCAAAGTCTTTAGTCTTCCAGTGATTCTTTGATTCATTCCTTCTAACTCTCCCCTCCCCTCCCCTACCCTAACCTTGTTTACTTAAATTACCACAACATATATAAAAATGAGCCAAAATACAGCGTTAATCTGCGATATTTATCACATAAGTCAGACATTTTAAAATATGATGTAGAAAACTTTACATGATCACAATTTAACAAAGTAAAATTTCCTGTAAGTATATAAAACTTTTGTAAAGAATAAACAGTACTAAAGCAAACTCCATACAAGCGAAATGTGATTCCTTCAAAGCGTGGCCGAATCGATACAGGATAATCGATCATAAAGTCGACAGAGCGAGTAGAAAATAATTAGAAACACGATACAATAATAAATAATCGACTACAAAAATGAATGAATAAATCGCGTGTAATAAAGCCACAAAAATACAGAGTGTTCCAAAAAGATGCAAATACATATTAAATAAATAAATAAAATATTCATTTTAATCAATTAAACCATTACATACGTCAGTCTTAGCACTTACAGGATTAGTGAATCTAGCGTAGATGTTCGACAAGACCACCGCTAGCTTCGTGGCACAGTTGGCAGTAGTGAGAAACTGACTGACAAGCGGCCACCGAAGTGTTTATGTTTATATAACGTTTTGGGACATTCCATATTTTAAAATTTTATGGAGAACGAATAGATTTATAGAAAAGACACTATAAGTCTTATAAATGTTGAAAAGTCAAGGGCGCAAAAGGCGTTAAAGATTAACGCATGAAATGAGAAAGAGACGAGATTTAGTATGTACCTCCCACACTACCAAACCCACTCAAACCCATGAATCAGTTTGTAAAGTAATATGTAAAGATTGAATGCGAGAGCCAGCAGCCACATAGGATGCCTTTGTTTAATTGATTGATTCTTAAATTATTTAGTAAAGCTGTTTCAACTGAAGGGGTCTCATTGGATCGAATGAAATTGAGAGTCGATCATAAATTATGAATGGTTTTTCCCAACTGTCGAACTTCATGGAGGAATGGCCAAATGAGAAACTGTTAGTCGCTCAGTTAGTCAAGAATTCCACGTCTTTTACGTAACACGAAGGAGCTGGACCCCATCATGGGAAATTTACCTTTTATTGTCAATTGAAAATCGATTGTTGTTTCCTGCTGTCATTTACATTGTACATTACTTTCCTCTACTTTTCTGTCACATTGAAAGAGCATGAAATGTGTAAATAGCAGTTTGTCCTTCGAGACAACACGACGGCGCATTGCACCTAAACCAGGAGGGAGGGAAACGATTCAACAACCACCAATGAGAAAATACCCCTCTAATGCGCATGTTAACTTAAACCTCCGTAGATCCTCCAACCCCTTTTACTACCACCATGCCACGTTACCGATTTCACTTGCACGCAAAGTAGTTGGCAACTACACGAACTGTCGACAAAGTTCGTTTCCTTGAACGATATAAAATCTTATGATAAAGCGATAATTTTCGACTATCGACTGTGGCCACCTCGTTCTGCGATCCAAAGGAGCTTGTAGACCATCTATCGGCGAGGTTGAAAGTAATACTTTTCAGGTCATTTGATTTTAAGAGTAACAACTTGACCATTTATAAACCATTGTTGCAGAGTCTGATGAAATGTCGCGACGGTACACACGAACAAATATTCGTAGGCTTACATTTATAAAGCATGTTTCTGTATAAGTAAATGCTTATGAAAATGTTAAGATCGATTTAAGATATACGATAACTTTTTGTAATACGACGATAAAATGAGTGACGGTTATAGATTTATGACTATTCTTGAATCGCAGGTCTATTACAATTTTGATAATGAGTGCAAAAATGTAGCAACGTGATTTTGTTGTGAAAATCCCTTGAAGGGCGGCTATTTTAAAGAATTAAGCAAATTGGAGGATAATAATGATTATTTATTTATTTATTTAACAATTAGTTTTAACCGCGTATATTATGGTAAGATGATTCGCGTAAGATTTATAACAGTTGAAGTAGGATGTGGCCTCGGTCTACTTTAACGTAAAATACCTGTAATTAGTCGAAGGTTACAGGGAAAACACAGAGGCCTTTAGATGATATCCTGTCTCCTGGCCGAAATTTGAAATCGTAACTCCTAATTGAGAAGCAGGACCGCAAAAAAGCTTTTAAGTTAGAGATCTGACATTCTGACAGCGGCGAAGATGTCGATGTTGGTCTTCTGAGTCGCGCAACGCAGGTCTGAAAATGACCACAGAATTTTTCTCCGAAATTTTGGTATCTAACCATAAATCCATACGGCGTTACAGCCCAAATGAACAACAACGAAATTATTGACCGAATGTGAACTATCTCGGACGGCGGTGTTAGTAATCTTAAACCTTTCGGTCAACTGACTAACTAACGAACTCCGACACTGAGACGTCGGCGGATATTCATCCATTCAACAGATCCTTGCTGTTATAAAAATAAATAAATAATCACTGTCATTCAATCCCATCGTGAGATCACAACTTCATAATCTATATCCCCCCGGGTAAAAGTTAACTGTATCTTTCCGTCTACGTCTAGGTACACCAAATGATCTCTGTATATCAGATATTCGGTTTCGAATACATTCCTTGGAAACTTACGTGCTGCATGCCTTAATAAAAGGCTATTATGCAAATTCTTTGAATGATATCCTATCCTCCGGGTCCACCTGAGTAGGAAACTTCCTCCATCGCTACCTGATGACGAAGACAGTTTCCGAAACGTCGAATTTACAAATATAATGGAAAGCGACTGAAGCTAATAATTTTATGAAAACAGATTTCTTGAAAGGCAAGAATTTTATCAGTACATATATTGTGTTTGTGTTGTTATCAGACATGCAATACCAGTGGAGCGAGCTACATCACGAGAGAAGGGCCAACCGCTTTGCATGTCTCAATACTATCGTCTCTTCACGTCATATCGACAGCCAGGGAAGACGCGAGACTTCATCTACACCAAAATTAAACACGGAGAAGGAGATACAAATCAGGGAACAGAAAATATAATTGTGGCTTGCAGGAACCATGTAAGCTTTGAAACTTATTAAATACTGAAGATGACTGTCTTCTGGGTTATAGTGCCATGTAGTATGGTAGAAGTTTACCAGTTTCAGAGGTACTCGCTGCCTCCATCATCAGGGAAATAAGGCAACAAGGAGCTCTGAAATGTTAATAAACTTCTGCCAGACTACACGGTGCTACAGCTCAGAATAAAACCATCTTCGTAATTGTCACAATTAGAATTTCAAATACTACTGATGAAAAGTTGATAACAACATAACTTACCATTAAAATGAACAGAACATCGTCCAGTACTTAGGCAACCTCTCATTTTTATTGGACACTGCATAACCAAAGCAGCATATATAACTGAAGATATGGAAATTAATAAAGTAAGTGAATTGTCCCCCACAGTTGTATGTCATGGCGCTGAAACCAAGTGAGAAGAACAGGCTAACAGAAGACGAAATGACCTTCCAGTTTCTACACATCCTTCAAGATGCCTCCTGTCAGCCGTTGTCTCCACCAGTAGGTATCCTCACGTCTGAAAGGAGAGACACCTGGGCAGTTGCTAGAGAAAAACTCAGACAAGGTGAGACAGTTTTGATACCATAAATTCATATACTTCAATTTAAAGATGCAGCTTATAAGAGAATAATAATTTGTACTTCTGTTACAGAGTTAAAAAACACATGAAAATACCTGCATAAAATTAAATGTAAATATGAGAATAAAATTAGTAATATTTAATTGGAATTGGGGCAAATGAGGGTGTTGAATTACAGTAATAAGAACAGTGCAAGAACATGGTGTTAAGTAGACACAGTCTTTTGCATAAGAGAACTTAATAAATGATTTGATATGACATTTCAGTTGGTACACGCAAAATTAACAGTCAAATCTTAATTTTATTTTCATACGAGAAAGAATGCTGACATAGCACATTTTCTTCGCCATGTTTTTTAAGTTTCTTTTATCCCTACGCTAAAAGTTAATTAAAATCTTCAACTACGCCTATTTCATTCTCTTCTGTCCGTGCATTTGCACAACATCGAAAGGTTTCCTTTTGACACTTCTCTATTGACCTCAGATAAGAAAAACAAGCAGAACCTGGAGGTCATCGAGAACGCCCTGCTGCTAGTGTGTCTTGACGAGCCTTTACCTGCAAGCTTCAATTGCCGTACCCTGCGAAGTGACGTGCCAGAAACTGTAAGAGGTCACATTGTGGATTCAAGAGATGAAACAAATATGTCTCATCAGATGATTCACGGTGGAGGAAGTGCGGCTAATTCAGCCAACCGCTGGTTTGACACGACAGTTCAGGTGGGAGCATCATTCATTTAAAAATCATAATCCCAATGCAGAGTTTCTGGAATGTACTGACTGACCCACAAGTCTCAGATTTTACTGAAACAATTACCTGTGCCAATCTACCTTGACGATGGCGTATGCAATTGCTGGCAAAGGATCCCCATGCCATTTACCATGAAACTTCTGTTTTGATGAGATGATAATGTTGCGTCATATTGTGATGATTATAATTGTTTAATTTTAACCGTCTAATCACAATAAATCGAACATTTCGATAGAAAGAGCATCATTTTAATATATTTTAAATATTTTAAATATTAAATGTTAATTGTAGTAATAATATTTTAATATTTAATAAAATATTTTATTGTGATTAGACGGTTAAAATTAAACAATTAAACAATTCTGTTTTGATGATAAACAAAATATACCAGCTTCAGTTTTATAAATTAAACTCAGCACAAAAATATTTTATGCCCTACACTGCATTTTTTATATATAAATTTAATTCACAATAATTCATAAATGCCAATTATATCGCCTGTGTCGCAATTTGTTAAAATTCTTAAATAACCCTATAGCATAGCGTGTTCACTGATTAAGGTTAATTAATGCATCTGTAACTTTCTGGCTCCTGGCAGAAACTCCTATAAAAATATAAATTGATTTTATGAAGAGATAATTGACTCGTACAAAAAAAAATCTTATAGTGCTCGGCAGTACGTCATGTAGTTCCATACAGGAGCTAGGAATTGACAGGTGAATTGAACTTTATGTGTACGCGTATTCATAATTACAGAGTGAATTTTATGCGACAGACTTGCACATAAATCACAATTTTTAATAAGATAATAAAATATAAAATATTTAAAATATCATTTCACGTTCCGTATCGAATGATCGATTTACAAATTGGAACGTATTTTAAATATTTTATTATCTTATTAAAAATTGTGATTTATGTGCAAGTCTGTCGCATAAAACTCACTCTGTAATTATGAATACGCGTACATACAATGCATAATTACACAACTGATATTTCACATACTGCACGAGTAACCTGTCTTTCTAGATCATAATTTCTAGTGATGGCGTTTGGGGGCTGTGCTATGAACATTCGCCATCAGAAGGTGTGGCTATTGTTCAGCTGATGGACGATGTGCTCAAGAAATGCGAGAGCATGCCTACCGCTCCCGATAACATTCCAAGCAACATCCAGTGTCAAGCCCCGCAAAGATTGGAATGGGTGATCAATCAGGACAGTCACCAGTACATACAAGACGCCATTCAGAATTTAGATTTGTAAGTGTAGTAGTAATAAGATAAATTTTACAAAGACAATTTATAACTATGTGAAATTTCAGGTTCTAACAGAGGCAAATATTAATATGGCTGTCTTCTGTGTTGTTCTGCCCCGATCAGGGAGACAGCCAGCACCTCTGAAATATCAGTAAACTTCCAGCAGACAAGAAGACAGCCATTGTCAGAACAATACATCTTAAATCAATATGAAATATTTTAAAATTAATACGAAAAGAGGAAATAATTAAAGAATAATATCACCATATTTCATAATAAAATAAACAAGTTTTACAAAGCAACATAATGAAGATGACAAGGTATTTAGGCATGAATAGAATAAAATATGTAGGATTTGAGGTTTTCACAGCGGTGAGTATGAAGATTTCTGTCTTCTGAGTTGTTGCGCTGTGTAGTCTGGTCGATGTGAACCAACGTTTCAGAGGGCATACTGCCTCCGTCATCAGAGTATGAAGATTTCTGTCTTCTGAGTTGTTGCGCTGTGTAGTCTGTGATGAATATTCATCGCCCTGATGACGGAGGCAGTATGCCCTCTGAAACGTTGGTTCACATCGACCAGACTACACAGCGCAACAACCCAGAAGACGGAAATCTTCAGAATAAAATATAATTGTACTGCAAAAGAAACAGAAAAAACTTTTGACTGTTGTGGACTGAACATAATATGTCACAATAAACTCTTTAAGCTAAATGAGGAGCAATTATTTTCGTAAAGCCAGATACATAATGACTGTACCACTAGTTCAATAATAAATCACAAACCTTCTCTAATTTATATTACAGAATGGTCGAAGATCTGGACTTCTACGTTTATCGCTTTCCTGGATACGGGAAGGAGTACATCAAGTCTGTAAAATGTAGTCCTGATGCCTATATACAGCTGTCACTACAGTTGGCATATTTTAGGTAATAACGTGTTAGAAAATTAAACTTTTATAAAAAAGCAGCATATATCATGACGGCAGACGTCTGCTCTTTCTAAGTAAGGCATGAGCATTGCTCAGAACACTTAGTTTTAGAAGATAACAGTAAAGAATAAATTTAGAAATCATAGGCTTTCATGTAAGTAAAGATTTATTATATCAATATAACAACAAATCACCTGAATCTATCATCACACCTACAACATGGGCACAGAATTATTAAATAATTAAAGAAATAATCAGGGGCCGCGCGGTCTGAGGCGTGGGCCTTGTGCCGATTGGTCGCTGGGACCGTGGGTTCGAATCCCACTCAAGCCACTGATGTTTGTCCGTGTCTGATTGTCAGGTAGAGGCCTTGCGACGGGCCGATCCCTCGTCCAAGGAGTCCTACCAAAATGTCTATAGATCGAGCCAACTAAAAAAATGTTGGGGTACCGGAAAATGTACAAACATTGTTAAACCGGAAAAAGAAGAAGAAATAACCAGTGTCAAGAATAGGATGACCTTTTAAGTTGCATGTTGAATAATAAAAACATTGCAGTGATCATGAAGAAACTGCAATAGAATGGCTTGCCTAGAAGTTGGTGTACAACAAAATATCTCAGGGAATTGTCTGCATAGTACATGGCATTGTAATGGACTCCATTATCTTGCTCTATGGTACATTTTTATTGTTACAGAAGGTGGATGGCAGCTAGTGTGGTGGCACTTCACTGGGGAATTCCCTCTGAAATTATATAAAGAATTTCAGTTCCAAGTTTTTTGTTTGACAGTATGTAGAAGGGTGTTGACTGTACACCACATATACTTCAGGAAACATACGGTGTTCAATGTAATTTTGATGTAATAATGTCTGCTGTTTTATATGCAGACTGTACCATAAACTCGTGGCAACTTACGAAAGTGCGTCAACACGACGTTTCCTACTGGGTCGTGTGGACTGCATCAGGTCAGCTCATAACGAAACTTTGCAGTGGGTGATGGCCATGTGCCATGATGAATCTGGCACTGAAGATATTCAGTCTGGAAAACGGGTAACCTTCAGTCTCTATGATGTGAGTAAATGTCATCATTTATTGCTGAAGATGGTCATCCTTGGCATCTGTGCATGATCGAATGCAATGCTCCATATTTTTTAGAGACTGGTTTATCTCAAAATACCTCTGACCAAAAAGGTCCTCAAATTAAACACATCATATTTTCTGCTGTGAAGCCTACAAAAATTTTCATAATAAGAGATAAATTTTTTCTAAAACTCTAGTACGTACTGTGAAAAGAAAACAGGAATCCATTGCTTCAATCTCAAAAGCATGCGTGGTTCCCACGCTTAATTATTGACATTAAGGGTTAAATAAAAGATACTGAGTTGGGCAATTTTGACCTCTATAAAATCTACTTAACACCAGCCTAAAAGTAGGTGAATCCTATCAGTATTCCTTCAGTTCTCTCTACAGCTCATTTCAGAAGTATTATGGCAGTTTTACCAACAGAAAGGGAACTCATTTCACTGTTCTTGACGACAGGCACAACAGAAGCTTCAATTATTTGATGAAGCGATGAAGAAGCAGACAGAGATAATGGTGGAGAACATTCTAGGCCAGGGTATAGATGTCCACCTTCTGGGTCTCAGAGAATTGGCCAAAGACCTCGGAGAACCCATACCAGATATTTTCCAAGATGACGTTTACAGAACTGCCAATCACTTTTCTTTGTCTACAAGTCAGGTACGATAACTCACCTCAATTTTTGAATTCATTATTCTTGTACTTCACTATGTTAGGGCAATTTATAAAATAATAAAAGATTAAGATATCTCTGCTACATGTAGAGGGTTTCGAGGTAAAGTCTCGTGTTTTAGAATTTGTCTCAGTGATTTCACTCGTGAATTTAGCAACGTATGAAAAGAAAAGAAAAAACACCAAACTCTCATCTGCTATATTATTACTAACCATGAAACTGCATTAAATTTAAAAATAAAACAATATAAATGCAGAAGTGATATATATTCTTCAACTAATTTAAACTGAAATCATGTAAATGCAGGTGTTACTACTGCAAAATGTTTGTTTCAGGTACCTACAAGTTCGGACAGTTTCATGGGTTACGGACCTGTTGTGCCAGATGGTTATGGTGCTTCATACAACCCCCGCTCTAACACCATTGTGTTCTGTCTATCTGCATTTCATTCATGTCAGAACACAAGCACATGGAAACTAGCTCATAGCCTGGAGGAAAGCCTGAATGCCATGAAAGACATGTTGAGCAGCAGACACACGAAGAAATAGTAATTTGTTACTCTACTTCTATGATGTACATAGACCTTTATTTCAGGTCAAAGTAGATTATTTGTTAATACTGTTAGACAACTGGTGGTCCCCAGGAAAGGTGAAAAGAGAACAAGTGAAAAGCAGAATAACGTAATACAATTAAGCAAACATCAAAAATTCACCTCCCATGTCCCATGTAGTGTAAATGAACTTGGAACTAAAGGCATTCAGTTATGCTATTTAGATTATTTAAATATGTTTTTTTCAGCCTCAAACATAATGTAGCATCATATGATATGGGAATACCTCAGTCAGGATGGCATATATTTCAGTTAAGATTGAACCACAAGCCTCCCAAATACAAATCTAGAGGATTACTGCAATGCCTCCTTTACTTCTTAAATAAGAAATACTTACAGATGTCCATGGTGTTATCATTCCATCCTAACTATATGTCCAGCCCATTGTATTTTCTTACATTTAATTATTCTATCAATATCAGGTGACCTATTTAAATTATATAATAATATTTAATGGAAACTGGAGCTAATATTGAAAAAATATTCTTTGCTCCCACCATGTTAGTTCTAACAATTACACAGGACAATGAGAAACAATAGGTTCCAGACATGTCGGTAAATAGTGTACAACAATTTTTGGTAAAATTCACAATGCTGAAATAAATATTGATTTAATTCCAATGCAAGGAAGTCTTCAACATTTTGAACTGAAAACTAGTGTGTCTTCCTTCCTCAGAACTCTTCTGTCTCCTGAAGGTAATTTGAATTTACAGTGATCAGATTTAGTATAAATTCAACACTGGATCTTTAAGAAAATGCTAATTACAATAAGTAAGTTAATCTTTTATATCAAATAAAAATAAACATTATATCTGCAAAACTTTAAGTAACCTACAGTAAACAATTAACAACTATAATGCTCCAAGTTGTAATTAATTAATTCTAATAAACATAATATGCACCGTGCTTTCATGTTCCCTTTTCACTTTTTCATGGGTATCTGTTATAAAAAGAAGGAATATTGTTTGTGTAGAAATATATGTGTACCATATGAAAGAAACTGGATCAAATAATAATATTAACTTTGCAGAAGGAGAGCATAAAAAATATATTCAGAGTGAACTGAAGTCTTCTAGGTTGTGATGCCATGATTACATAGTAACATAACCTCTAAGACCACAATTCACATTTTCATAACCATGAGAATCTCAAATTCCAGAATTGTAATTAAACAGAATTTTGTTCTAAAAGTACTTCAATCACATTTAGTGTGACATCTTCATGAGAAAAAGTTGCTTCTAAAATAACAACGGATTTATCATAGCCACACATCTCTTAGATTTTTAAACTACTCCGATTGTACATAAGGTGTACATACATATACAAAGCATGATTGTGTTCCTTAGGATTTGTTCCCAGAGAAAATTGTTACGGTTATTTAAAACAAAAAATATTTATATTTTTATGTTTGCCTTAGGATTTCAGCCATATTTGGTTAAAATTTAAACAACATGCCTACCATTTGAAGGAAATATATGCACATAATTATATCTTGGAAAACAAGGACAGAAAATGGATTAACATTTTCATTGCTTACACTGCTAAACACACAGCCTTATGCAAGTTAACAATTAAAGTGTTAAAAGAATTCAAATTTTGTTTCCCTTATAAGAAAGGAAAGTTGAGTATGCCCTTTCTCATAATGCAGAAACTAACTTCAATTGATTGATGTTGTTATGTACATAATATTAGAAAACTTATTCATTATAAAATAAATATGTTATTGTTATTCTGTTTTGGAAATGGGAAATTGCTTAGTGATGACGTTTGTATACATATGTTAAATAAGTGGAAAAAATTCCTCATACTGAAATTAAGTATTGAAAGATTAATTTAACTGTATTAACATATTTATAATATTTGTAGCTTAATCTGGTTATTCATATTTATTTTAATATACACTATGTTTATTAACATGTACAAAATGTCTGCAACAGACATTTTGTTGATGATGTTTTGTACGCAAACAACGTGTCTTCAAATTACACATATCAAATATTGCAGAACTGCTTTTCAGTAGAATTTATTACAGAAATGTTTTGTAGACTATGTGATATGAATCAATATAATTTATTACATAAATTGTTAAAATATACACATACACACCAAAAGCGAAATGTTGGACTGTAAATGCATATTACTACATGTTGACTTGACCAAGATGAATATTATATCTGTTACACATTACTCTTGTTCTTTTATATAAGATATTAATGGAATTGTTGTCACACATTTTTATTTAGAAGCTATTATAGTCCTATAATTTATTAGTAGATAATTACTGTATATAGATTGATTAGGACTACAGTGCGTGTATTAGCAATATACAGATATGTAGGAATTTCATCACCATGTAACTCTAGATAGACTATCATGGGTTCAGATAGCATCCAATTGTTAGGTTGTATAGCACGTATATATCCAACACTGAACTACGTGTTGATCACCTAAATAAAACATCAAAGTTTATACTGGTTATGTATCATTATGTTTCATGTTGAAAGAAAGAATATTAATTCAGTTATATTAATATTACAAAAAATGCCTATGATATTTGCACAAAGAAAAATAAATCACTTTAATCATTATTCCAGGTTAACTCACAGCAGTTAAATCCTAGGGCTTATTGGTTATGAACCTAGTATATTAATTCTATCATGCAAGAATTAGTATTTTATTATCTTCCTAGTTCATTAAACTGAAAGAAATATCATTTTTGAACGAAACTTTGGGAAAAAAGTAAAAAGTTGTACTCTTATTGAAGTAAATATAAATACAAATATATTTGTGATTTTGCATACCTCATTGATGTTGATGTTCACTTATTACAGATAAATGTTTATTATTCCAGAGCTAAAAAACACTACAGATGTTACATTCCATATAAATATACATTACTGTTTTGTATTATGTTAGAATACATGCAAATATATAAGAGTAATGTGTTGTATAGTCTGAACATAGAACTGATACAGCAGTTGTAATAAAAAAGGTTATGTGTTGGTCATGTGATGCTTATGGATAAAAAAAACCTTGATGCAGAAATCTCTGGGACTGAGGCAGAGATTGTAGGTAAGATAATATTAAATGGTTCCAGGATTTGGTCCAATGGTGGATTTTTGTGGTGATGTTGTTAGACTCTAATACCAAACAGTGTATAATTTGTGATCAAAGTAGTGTGTGTCTATATAAAGCACAGGGGAGTATTTTGCCCAGATCTTGCAGGGGAAAAAATTTCCCATTATATTATTTAGTAGAATTTCTAAGAGACAGAAGATGTTGAAAAGAAATTAATTGTCAAAATGCAGTGTGAACTTTGATGCTATGAATCCGAGTGACATAAAGTTCTTATATTGTAAATTCAAATAGCTTCCTATATAGTTGTCTTCAAAAATTGGCACTATTAGTGTACATTATACTCAATACTGCTAGTATACACCTGATGAAATGTCAATTACAATTTCTTTAATTGTATGATTGTGGATTAATTGTATCAGAGTGTGAAAATGTGTGGTTATTTCAAAACAATGAAAATGGCATACACAATGCTTGAAGTGGGACAGTTTGTGAAATATTTTATGATAAAAGAAATTTGTGGCTGGATAGTTCGCAAATCCCTTGAATTTTAGAAATTTGACAAAATAAATTCCTGTTTGAGGCTAATATTATATCAACCTAAAATACTCATGACATTAACGTTTTCCCTCGACGGAAGCTTATTACCATGGTGACCAGGTAAATGGAATAATAAATTAATCAAAGACATGAGGTCAGAACAACTCTGTGCTTACACTTATTTTATTGTTATTTTTACTGTATTTTGTTGTTCTTACAAAAAGTGAAACAAAAAGAGGGAGAAAGAACATGAAATTTTGGCATGGTTACCGGCTGTTAAGTGAAACGATTTTGGATCTCGTTGAAAAGAAACAGGTTAGCAACATTTTCAGTTCCACCCCACTTCAAGCACTGAGTACAGAAGCTTGTAATATGAATAAATGTATTTATTCCTGTATATGTACATGGAAGAATGTGGCCATGAAAGTTTGGTGTGGATTGTAATGTATATCGAATGCTTTATGCAATGGGAAAGAAACACAGGTATGCTTATGGAAGTGCAGAATATAATATGTAACTAAAAGAGATAGATATTACTATGGAACTTCATTAAATTTTTCCAGTACAAATCTGAAATATCTGCTATTATATTCAATAAGTTACTTTAATGATGAGAGGCGACTGTGTTTTACATCCAACAACTGACCTAGTTCATAAATGGTGGCAGAGTAAATTATTTAATTATTTCAGTACAGTTTATTTTAAGAGGAACTTGGGTGAATAACAAGCAGATTCACTATGATGAAGAAAGTTTTCAATGGCTGACATTGGATTATGCAGCAATAAACATAAGGAATCAGGTCTGCAACTGAAAGAATTTAGGTGAAGTTCATGATGATACTATGAACAGAAGTCAAGAGATCAGTTTCAATAATAATTCTACACCATATATATCTATCTCTTTTTGATGCAATGAAATCAGAACTACTATATGTTGTGACAACACTATTTAATACGATCTGTCTTCTATCTAATTTCAAACTTGTTTTGTCCCACATGACTTTAAAAAAAAGTGATCATGTGGGCGCCCGCACAGTGACTCTTGTCCATTCGAAGTAGAGCTTAGAATGAAACAACATATATCTATGAGGAAAATACACTTTGCATTTCTCTATATGCTTAAAAGCAACTGTACTGCTGTAGACTAGCTTCAAAATATTGCAAGAATTGTACATGATGCTTCCTAGTGTTCAATAGTCTTGTTTAATGAAAACGCAGAATTGATGTAATTGAAATATGTGTAAATATTGAAACATCAGTGGTAAGAACAAGTGATTTAGTGACAGAGTTATTTAAACTGTTTATTCAATAGAAGCAAACTTTACTTTCTTACAGGACAAAATAATTTAAATTTGTGTTAAAAAATAATCAATTGCAGAAAAATTAATTTCTATTGTTGAAACCAAACACAAGATATATATGTGTGCTTTCCTTCAAGATAGTGTTATTAACTGCTACATTCAGGGTCATGATTACATGGGAAAATATTGATGTAATAATTGTATTGGGGGTCACAGTGGCCGCGCAGTCTGAGGCGTGGGCCTTGTGCCGCTTGGTCACTGGGACAGTGGGTTCGAATCCCACTCAAGCCATGGATGTTTGTCCGCGTTTTTCTGTGTCTTGCTGTCCTGTGTACAGGTAGAGGCCTTGTAACAGGCCAATCCCTCGTCCAAGGAGTCCTACCGATTGTCTATAGATCAAAGCCAATGTAAAGTTGGGACCCACAGTGCACGGGTCGTTCCAGTATCCAGTAGTAATAATTGTATTATATATATATATAATGATAAGCATCTGAGCATAAAAATACCAACACTTTGCAAGCAGACAGTAAAGTGATTCCACTGTGCATAACAAAATTACTTCCATTTCATATGTAAAAATACAGAACTATCAGCACATTCCCCATTTTAACATATTACTGAAGTAATTATTCCACCAATTCATTCAAGTTGTGATCATGTGGAAATCATTACTATAAGTCAATTGAGAGCTCACTTACAGCTCGTACATTTGATGCAAAACAACCCATCTTATCACTAAAATCAGTTTCTTTTATTATTTAAAATATATTAGATTTTCTGCATTGGATATTCAACTTATATAATCTACCCAGAACTTTGAGCCAGGCCAACTCAATCAGTTGAAGGGCAGCTATAGGTGGCTGTAAGACAATGGTTTGCTCCCTTATACAAGAGAACATTTTCTCTTTGGCTCTGGTGTTCATCTAGCCTCCAATAAAATTGTGTGTCCAGAGAGAGAAGCTTACGTCTCACATTTTATCGAGTCAGTTACCGTGAAAGCTTCAAACCCTCATTTCTATTTAATGCTGAGGTCTAAATGCATCAAGTTTTACCTTCATGCTCCCTATATGCCACAATAAAATGGTAATTAGGTAGAGACAATTTTATTTAGAAAATACGCACGGCTCTACTATGTTGTAGGCGCAGCATCATGAACGTAAGCTGTGGAACAAATGGGAGTACTACCTACTACTACTCAATATGAAGTACAATCTTAAACGTTACCTGCTTCATAATAATCTGATAATATCTACTTAGCTGAAAAGGATAACTTGTGTGTGTACAGATTTCTTCATAACTGTCGCAAGCTGCTGCTCTATGTAAATATCATTTACATACTTTCTGCAAATGTAGCATATTATTGTGATACAAATGGACAGAGCTGTACATCTAACCACTTGATCTTACCACATTGATTTTTCCTGCATGCATGGGAGAACTGGGGAAAAAAGAATACTTTTACATTTCAATGGCCTTCAATTCAATGTATAGTACTTTTTTGTAGATTGTATACATTACTATACTATAAATGTAAACACTTGGTCATTACGTACATATACTTCCAAGGGAAAATATATATTAGTATTTTGTTTTGAACATATATAGCATTATACTACTTGCTAATCTCTGGTACACTGTTAAAATGCAGTTAAATACAGAATTAAACATATCACTGAGAAACACATATCAAGAAATCATACCACAGATATTTTGTGATATGACAAATATACGTTGATAAGGAAGGTTTCAACGAAGTTAAAATAGTTTATGTATATATATGTACCATAGGACAAACATATCATAGAATGTAATTTTTATTACTGTTCCTTGTTTAAATGTTAGTATTTGAAATAAAAAGCTTCAGTCACTGCAGTAGTGTGCAGGTTGGAACATTATTTGTATGTTTAGAAGTCTAACTGAATTATTAACACTTTAACTGCCATGCATTTAAGCATCCTGCTATGATCCTTAAGTTTAAGTACTTGAGTATTTAATTTGACTGTATTAATAACACAGAAATTATAGAAATACTGTAGTGATGGCTAAACGCTGCATATTATGGAAATCATGATTTGAAAGGTCTGCTCCATTTCAGGGTAATAAGTGTTTTAAAATGTATTCTTTAACACTTCTAAATTTATCAACAACTATGAAACAAATACAAATCCCCCCCCCCCACCTCCAAATGAATTAATATTATCTGTATCAAGTTTAATTCACATCCATTAAGTCATGTAAGACATACAATGTAATGTAATGTACTTGTTGCATTTTATATTCATTGATGAATGTAGAAAGTTCTTCCCTCAAATTCAGTCTGAGTTGCAATAAGTGATGTCAATGTTTGTTCTTATATCTACAGGTTAAGAAATACCAAAATATTACAGGGCACGTGGTTTGAATGGATGTATTAAGACTGTTAAGATGCTTTAACAAATACAATTTACTGATCACTCGTGCTAGGAAAAGAAATAAAAATTATTCCACTTAGGATTGGCACTCCCTAAACCTCACAGTGATTACAAGAATTCTTGTTCATGGCAGTTAAAAGCAAATTGTTCAACCAGGAATACATGACATATTTTACTGTCTACAAATGAAAAATTTATATGTATCTGTGATGCTGGATTAATGTCACTTCTGAAAACATACAGAAACCAATCAATATTTATAAGAATTCAGAATAAGAACTATGTTAAATGTTATTTGTGATGATCAAATTTACAATAAACAATAAAAATGAAAGGTAAATTTGGATATTTCAGTAAATTTTATAGTTTCATATTTACCCATAACCAAATCCTACGCTGAACAGGCTACTTACTCCCTGTGAAATAATGTGTGTATGTATAATACAGGCAAATAAATATTATTTACTAATGGTTCTAAAACATTTTAAAATCTATTAATAACCCAGATTACCTTACCAATCCTTTCTTATCCACCATCCACAACTGCTCTTATCAACCCTGAAGATGCAGACAATATCTTCCATCACAACTCAGAGGACTACACTTTGGAATATGAACGTCAAGCCAATAGGAAATGAAATCATACACAGACGTCCTTCTTGTCTGTAACTGACAAACAAAAATATAGGCTGATAAATTGAACGTGTAGAAGAGGAAATTTCATATAATGGGTATCAGGGATGTTATGAGTTTCAAAACATCCCCACATCAAGGGTTGTCAGGACAACTGCAAAGGCAAGCAAGGATCAGGTAAGCAAAATGTTAGTAATCATGAAGCATTACTGTCAGATAGTTACGAAAGTTAATACAATACATCAAGCTTTTCATGGCACAATTGCATTAAAAGTTTTCTGTGTAAATTTTTCAATAAGATTTTGATCTCTTCTTTTCATCTTCAGAATTACTACAAATTAATTTATTTTCAAGAAAAAGACTCAATAGAACTGAAATTAAGTAAAAAGTACTGTCACTGGTTTCAAAGTAAGTTTGATAATAAACAGTGAATTTACCCCACTCCCTATTAATATACATATTTTTTTTTAAATATGCTACTTTTACAGATCCCTGGGAACAATAATTACATGTGTTTAGCATCTCTACTTCCCACCTTAAAGAAAAGTTTCTGATGCCTTTGCAGAACAGAATAAAAAGCATAATGACAGGAACTGGCAGAACGAAGCTTCAATTAATACTATTATTTTTGTATCATCTATGGCTAATGCTTCTGCATGAAATGTGGTAACAGGTTTTATTTGAGGTAACACTTATTCTGAAATAAGAATATTTTCTCTATACATCAATATTAACATGGATAAGTAGAGGGAATGTCCAGCTCTGTAACTTAAGGTCATAGTTTTATGTATGATTTTTATTTCCACAAAAGACTGTTGTCAGGAAAAAAAATGAGAGAAGACAACAAAAGTAGAATACTCCGAGGGATAAAGTACATTAATGATGTTTCTTTCTTGTATATCAACTATGACTTAAATATACCAACATGACACTCATCATATCTACAGACCAGGGAGGTCTCCAGCAAATTGTTCCATTCTTTAATGACAAGGACATATGTAACTACCAGAGTCTCACATAAGCAAAGATAACATGGCAAATTTATGTAACAATGGAGCTTCCAAATAAACAATGAAGTTAAGACTAAAAACACGTAAGCTTCATTAAGGAGTTTCGTAAATGTGTGAAAACGAAACAGTTGTTTCCTTATGTTTTACATATTACACATTTAACAAGTGAAATACTAGGACAGTGTCATAATATTTCACAACAGATTATTAAAATTTGGATTTTAATAACAAATTTATGCAAGTACAAGAGTTTGTTTGCAGTTATCACAAGTGTAAATAAGGATATTTCACACAGTACTTTTAAACACATGAAACAAATATAAAAAATATTATTGATGCAAAGCAACTAAACAAATCTAAATGATAATGGAATTTGATTGACAAGAGTTTCCTACCTATAATACAATATAATGAATTATATAATGGAGGGATGCACAAAACATGATTTGGGTGAGCAAATATTATTCCTGAAGGTTTTACACTGTACAAAGTTTGACCATACAAATAACAATTAAGAACACTATACACACATTTCACAATAAAGAATATTTCCAATACATAATTTTATACTGTTTCGGGTATTGTGATGGACAAATAATAATTTATCCTGCATCAGTGTGCCCATCGAGAAATCTGGCACAATAAATTCCTTCATGCCTGTACCAAATGACCACAATACAATATAATAAAAATAACTTTTATGCTAAATTTATGCAAATTAAGCTGCATAACAAGAGAAATCATGCGGATTTTATGTATACGTATAGCACTTTCATGTTAACTTATTCAAATACTGTAATGGAAACATGAAATACACTTACTTCATATAATTCAAGAATTATTAATAAATACTTCAAGAATAAGAGAGAGCTTATTAATCTCAAATAAAGACCAATTATTCTTTTTAAAACATGACACATTTATTAACCATGACATGCCAGATGAACAGAGCATTGAGAAATGAGATAAATTCTTGTCAACACAAAATTAAAGCAGAGTACACTGCTACCACTTCTGAAGAACACAGAAGTGTGATAAACAACATGTCACAGTAGTCTTCAGGGTTGTGATCTCATGTGGTCTTGTAAGATTTGAGGTTTTCACAGCGGTGAGTATGAAGATTTCTGTCTTCTGTGTTGTTGCGCTGCGTAGTCTGGTCCAACGTTTCAGAGGTCACACTGCCTCCATCATCAGGCGATGAATATATATTAACATCGACCAGACTACACAGCGCAACAACCCAGAAGACAGAAATCTTCACGTGGTCTTGCAGGCAATTATCATTGTTTCAGAGAAACATACTAGCTCTACCTTCAACGTGAAGTGCAAACACCAGTAAAAGCTACAAGATCACATGGAAACACACCCCAGAAAATCATAACTGGCATGTTCACTGCCATGAGAACCTCAAACTTCAGTGTGTTAGAGTAAAATACAAAATTTAAAAAACTGAAACCTGTTAAGCTGGCAATTGTGTTCCATAGAGTATTCCTAAAACTTTCTTTAAGTAAAGCAAACAGATGACTGACGTATGATAATTGTGGTAGTCTACCAAACTCGTCACACACCTTGGACGGTGAAAGACGAGAAATAATGCGTGGAAGCCTACGACAGAAGTACGGTGGGTTATAAAGGGCACATCTGGGCATGACATAATGGGATGCAGTACATAGAAATGAAAATGTGATTATCCTCACTTTACATTTGACACTGTGGGTTAAACCTGTAACTGTAAAATCTTTTAGCATATGGAGAATTTCAGCATATTTAAAATATCAATATCACATCTGTACTTACCTTACACATTATTTTCACCATGTTTCCAACTATTTCTCACATTTCTCATTGCTCATATTTTATATATCATTACATTGTAGTTATCTAAATGTATTAAATAAATGAGAGAATGTTTAGAGACAGTATTGTATATGATGTAGTGACAGAAACCCCACAAAGTTAAACTTATTTTTTCTCTTTTGGCAGTCAGAAAAAAATATTTAAAATAAAAGATTGAATCAATTAAAACGTATTACAGCAAAAAATATATATTTTGTAGGAATTTAAAGGTTGATAAAATTGTTATAATGGAAAATAAAGACTTAAAAAATTGTTTTTAGGATGAATGTTTACCAGTATGAGAGGGATAATTCCATAATTGTATGGCAGTATGAATTAACATTTACAGATTTTTCTTTGCACCAGAAATACTGTCAAAAGCCCAAGTAGCATGAGTAAAAGTGATAGAAATTAAAGAAACTAAAAACTAACCACTATTTCAAACAATGATACTAAGTACATAATGAAACACTGCAACATATTCTGTAAATAAAGCTTAAATAGCACAGTACAGCTAAAGCCTGACAGCAACCCCATTCATCAGGGGTGTGCAATCCTTTTCAGAATATGGGCCATACTGAAGAGATTATAAACCACTGCATAGTAGCAATAAATTTAATATTTCTTTATTAATAGATCTCACTTAATAATTACAGTTTTCTGTAAGATGAGCTTCATTTTTAATTTGTAAGTTTTACTTTTGAAAAGAAGTTAAGATGATGCCAAACTGCAATGCTTGTGGAACAAAGAAATTCCTTCTAAGAGGTTGATAAATTTCATAAATTGGATGTTCAATCCATTATTGGCTGCACAATCAGAGAGGCACTCAGCATGACACAAGTACACAAGGCACAGCCATACTGTTTCAAAATCATTGACAGTCTTTTTTTTAAGAATTCTAATCTAACCTTCATACCAACTGTAGAATACTTAAATAGCTAACAAAAGACCTTTGTGTGCAAGCTGATTAACACAGCTTGGGGCTATGTTCCACATGCACCTGCACTATCTCTGGTAATAGCTGCTCTCCTTTAGTAATACTGTCATCTATGCAGAAGAGATATTTACAAGATTCTTGACTGGATGGTTTTACATATCAGTGTATGGGTCTGCATGTACATGGCATCAATTAACAGAATAATGCTGCATCACAATTCTGACTGAATTATTAACAAAAGACATCGACCCTTCTTTAATATATCATTGCCACAGTTACATTATAATAAAAAGTAATCTCTAACCTAAAAAGGCAAAGACACGTATTAAAAAAGAGTTGTCCAAACAAAAGTATTTATGAATTTTTAACCTAATTTGACTTACAACAATCACTGACACAACACAGAAGTGATGCAGAATATGATGCTAAGAGATGAAGGAGTGTTCAAGAGGCTTCACTTGTTTGCTACATTATAAAAAGAAAGTAGCAACATACATCAATGATCAATTAAAATTATAACAACTTTTAAAAATATAAATATTGACATAAAAGATAAATCATCACAATATAATGTAATAATAGCTAATTTAAATAAAGCAATTAAAAGTGTCATCTGTTCAACCATCCATCCTACTCCTGATCTGACATGCACATATGCATGCTCACACATGCATGTATAATTAATTACCCATAACAATAAACTGAGTGCAATGTGTTGCATATAAATATGGGAGCAGCATATAATTACAGCAATGCAGAAGTAATTATGAACAGCAATGGATATCAAGACTTTGAAGGATCAGTACACCCAAGTGGAAGAAGACAGAATACTTTCCACTTATGAAAAGTCAATGAGAAATCAAGTAAATACAAATTTTTATAAGAAAGTAAAAAAATTCAATAAAAAGAAGATGCTTTTATAAGAACTAAATTAGAACTCAAGCAATACAACCTTTTACTGCCCACAGAATTTACATTTTGTTTGCTCTGCAACTAGCAATACTGTAACAAAGTGTCCATTTTGTTTAATTAAAACATTACATGACTGCCTAACAGTTTTGTTAATAGGTTATGTTTCATGCTCATACTGAGAATATCTGAATCACATTCATAAACCTAATGCTGTAAGTTATTAAAAATCACGATAAATATTTTTTTAAATTCAATCACAGATCAAAATACAATATTAAAAGATCTAACAGAATTAATAACAAAGTGCATCAGGTGCAACCATCAATTAAATTGCAACAAGCTTTGAATTCTTTTACTTTCAGAAAGCAACAAACAAAAATGTCACATATGCTATTTTACAAAACTACATACTCAGTTTTCTAAATCCCATCATAATTTAATATGCAAAAGAAACAGAAAGAAAATAGTCCTTGCATATAATTTCTGTCACTGTGAAAACACAGAAATTTCAGTCCTGAATTGCATAAAAATTTCACAAGAAATGGTTTGATATTATAGTCTTATATTACAAGAAGATATTAATTCACTAATCTGTATTCAGGAGCATAGCAAAGAATAGGTCTCTCACATTATGAAACTTGACAGTGAAGCAGTTAGAAGAAACCTGTCTCTAATTAATATTATATGTAAAAAAAGAATTTTTGATTTAAAATTGTTATATGCAATACTTTAGACAAACATTTAAATACAATCAGAAGATTCTAATTAGTCAATAGTTATTTTTAAACATTACTTTTTTCAACTTAGAAGCACAGATACTTCTCTGTTATCATCACCTACCTTTCTCTCAGAAGTTTTTCTTTTACTATAATGGAATCATCCTAGAATATATAATAATATTATCATGTTGACAGTTAGGCCAAACAATTAAGGTATCAGTTCATAGAACTGAAGTCCATAACAATGACAGAGAAAGGGGCATACAATCATATTTTGTATCGGAAAACATCTAAACACTAAATGCAATTGGAGACTTGCACACACTTTATGTGTAATAATGACTAATTATTCTATTTGTAATGATAAAAAAGTGGTGGTTTTCTTTCTTTTAACAGCAATTACATTCAAAAGCTTGGTTGTCCTTTAACAAGAATATAGACTTACATATGAAGTAGGATTCCTTGACAAATGATATAACCATACAGGAAAAATTTGAAGAATGATTCCTAAAGAGAACCACCAAAGAAATACGTGTATTTCATTCATAACAAATTGTAGTTTCAAGACAGAAAAAGGCTTGTTTTTTTCACATGCTTTCAAATATGTAAATTATTTGTTCTATATTTTGGTAGTATTCAGTTATAAAGTTTTAATCTCACTGATGTACTTTTGTTCTTACATTTCAATACTGTTTTGGCAACTGCTCATATTGAAGAAGAAAACAGACACATTTTCATAAATGTTCAAGATGACCAGAAAACACGTGCCAAAAAGTCCCCCCCTCCCTTTTCCATTTGTCAAAGCATTTTGAAATACAAACAGGTGGTAAGGAAGTTCCTGCAAATTCTTGTTTTAAAGTTATTTTGTGAAATAATTCACTGACAGCTCCATACTTGTAATCATAGACAAAACTGAGATGATTTAGTTTCTCATTTTTGCCTTAACAAGAGAGCCAACATCAAATTGCAAAAATTCTTCTTACCATACTAAAGCTGTTGAAAGCTTCTTACTATGTAATACATATTAATATATATATTGCACGTATTGCACCAAACTCTGTTAAAAATTAACTGTTTCCTACTCAACAGTGTGCAGTATTCCATATATATTACCTCAAGTTGTACGTCCATCATCTTCCTTACGGGTACCATTTTTCCATCACATACTAAAACTATGCCAATTGTTTCCTCAAGTATACAAAAATCTAATCCCTGACAACATTATCATAAATTCAAAATTTTAGAAAAAAAGAAAGTTTTTTATCAAGTATGATGTAGCTGGAAATTTCCAACCGTTACCTGGTTTAACAACACAGTAACAGTTCAGCACAATACAAGACAAATATGTGAGCCCACTTCTTATCTTCATTATCATATAAAATAAATACAATCATGCATAGAGACATCCATATCATAAACCAACAGAACATTCTAACCCTGCAATTTTTGTAAGTAAATACATTATTATTTGCTGGTGTTTACATATATGTTCACCCCTCCCTCTGTGCAGGATACTGTCAGAACATACTCCTACAGCTGTCTTCTATAATATGACACATGTTTATCTTGACTTCCTTGCATACCTCCATCTTGATCCTTCTAACCACCAGTTATAATTTAACAGAGGTTGGTGCAAACGGGTATCAAAGAAGCAGCAAGATCTGCTTGATCAATATTTGGTTGTTCTTCTCATTGTTGACTTTATTTCATTTGTAGTTTTGTCCCAAAGAAGACAATGCCTCAAATGTTTCTATTTGTGGGCAAATGTAAACGGAGAGGAACCAGAAACACCAGAACGGTGAAAATGAACATTTTGCCACTTGTTGTCGCGTTTGTGCCACACTCTAGTCTCCTCTGACTGCTGTGTGTGGGCTTGACCCTGCCTGAAATGAAGATAATGAGAATGAACAGATATAAAGTAAGTGTGTGAACTTCTTAAGATAACAAACATCGGAAATGTATATTTCATTAATATGTGTGAACTTCTTAAGATAACAAACATCAGAAATTTATATTTCATTAATAGTCTTCAGAAATCTTCAGGCTTGTTAGTTTAATATAAACTTACACAACATTCCTCTTGTACAATAAATAACATCACTAACTCTCTGTTACAGAATATTCCTTCAGCAGTTTGTGGTTTTCCACTTCAGAAATTTCCTGTTATGAAATCAGAAGGTTCATTACCATCATAGAAAGTCTACCACTGAACTTCATCCTGAACTTGTTCAATCCCATCATTTCACATTTCCAAAGTTCCCTCTTTTGCGTTTCCTAACTAAAATGTATTTATTCTCTTGTTTCCTCTGTTATCAACAACCAACAGTCATGGTGTCGGGCCACTTGTTGACCCATTTCAGCTTCAGTCATCCAAAAGTCTCTTTTAAGACCATCCTAAGTTCCTTAACCCATGAAGTCGGTAATTTCTTTAATAGTTCGGGAAAACTGTTTCTTTGAATTGAATTTTACTGAAAAAATAGGTGTAAATATTAAGAGTTAGTAAAAATAATACTTGTTTAACGTTTTATCAAAGTTATAGGTATAACATTATCTCGTTTCTAATAATCTACTTACTTGTCCATGTACTGCGTGAGTCTGACATATGCAATACAGGCTGCATCTTCTCCCAGCAAGTGTACATGTGGGTTGAGAATGGTCGTATTCACTGCTTTGCAGTTTTTGCCTAACACTGCAACACAGACACAAGCAAAAATAGTCTCTTCTCAACACATCTACATTTCATGTGACTGTCACTGGAAAATCCAATATGTATATCTTTGCTCATACAACAGTCCCCTATAAAATACAAGGAAATAAAACTTCTGGAAAGATGCCATAAATGTGAAACAGCTCAGTTCAGCTAAAGTCAAAGAAAACTTTGTGTTTAAACTCAAAAAAATAGAGATAAATCCATATTCATTGTACAGTATATCATAACATTTAAAAGACCATACCTGCTTGAATAATTTATGCAGACAATAAACTAGTAATTTACATTGGTTTCCCTGATATTTTACACATAAATTTAAAAATGAAATGCCATTAGGTTAGTTTCAGCTTCTATGAATATACAATTTGTCTTTTTTTTATTTAATAAAGAAACAATTTCATCTACGTGAGTGTACCCATCCTCCTGTAGTTATTTTTAAACTAGTATCAACAACATGACATTTATGACACATTACCTTCATACTATTGACAACCCCAACATAAACAGTGCAGACATAACAAATGGCACCTTTCACTTTAGGAACTAATCATATGTGTGACAAGTAATGTTTCTGTAACTTCTGCTATGTAGAAATAAAATAGAAAAACACAGTATCCATGAAAATATGAATATCTACTTTTCATTTTATAATTATAGATGTGGGTGTTTTTGAAGAGGGCACTCATAAGAATAAATTAACCTAACAGAGAGGAAGTAGCAGGAGGCTGAAGCAAAGTTAATAATAAAGAGCTTCAAAATTTCTATTCTACTACAAGAAAGTTTCTACAGCCAAGTATGAGCACTGGCCTTCCTGGCAAATTTTCTGCCAGCTTTTAAAATCTCTTTCTAGTACTTGGAAGGACTCTTTGGACAGAAGACAGCCTGTCTACACATGACAACAAAGCAAAGAAAAATGCAGACATATCTACTCTTCAAGTGAGATTCAAAGCCATGATCTCAGTCAAAACCCATTGTTATTAAAGACTATGTCATAGAAGATATCATAGATTGGATAGTTAGTCCTTTAAATAATATAAGTTACTGAGGCTGGACAGATTTACATGCAATAAACATTATTAAATGCACAACTTTGGCTATCACAGATAAGCCACTCTGAATGTCGAAAATTATCCAGTATTTTGGCAAACATTGCAGTTGCCATCTTCACGGTGTATATGTAATGGTTGGGCATTGTGGCAGCCTCGTGAAGGGCAGGCATTCTAGTGCCTCAAGTCTTTAATAGGTCTGAGGTATGCCACTGCAACACAAAATCAGCTGAATCACACATAAGAAATATATAAGAATTATGGGAACTCAGATGATGTGATAACAGTAACTGAATTAAAAGGTGAAAGTAAAGTTGTCCTCTTATTAATCAAGCACCACACCATGAAGAGGTAATAAGGAGAGGAGTTACAGGTCCATGTTTTCAACCCTCAACGCAGAAATTAAATCTTCATGATATGCACACACAATGACACACAAAGTGGATTCATTTTTGTATCACTGTGCTGATATATTCTAAACATGCAACAAATGTACTATAATTCTATGGGGTTTGAGAAAAAAGTGGATTACTTTTTCAAGTAAGCATAAGATGAATACAGTATATCAATTTAATGACTAAATGAAGCAAATAAGAAACATAAAAAATTACAAACTATAAACACAACACTAAACAAAATGGTAAATATTATTAAGAAGCAAAATAAGCATGGAAAATACATAGAAAAATAATGAATTTAATGAATTACAATCTATTAAACCATTATCTATAATACACACAGCAGAAAACTGTACACCAAAATAAGAGAAAGCCAGAGTTTTAAGGTTAGCTGCTTAGCCTTTCACTGTTCTTATGAGTCAAGCTAGCTATGACATAACGGAAGTACAGATATAACCACATTTAATGGCCATTAGCATCTTAGCAAGAAAATGAATGACATAAATATATTATAGTAAAACCGATTCACCTAATGAACCACCCAAGATATTCACTCAGGCATTATATTTGTAAGCCGGTTTGAATTCTTAGGACTTAACTACATCTCCATATTTAACTTTCTTTTCTCACACTGTCATTCATACACATAAACATAATCAGATATCTTGTTGACATCAGGATCATCTGACTTAATATGAGAATATTAAAATATTAACTTGAGATGAAACATGCTGTCTCACATAGAGGACTACATATAAAACAACAATACATAATTATTTTGCAGATTAATTAACACCGGAATATGTTTTTATAAGAGAAGATAGAGCCACAAGCAAAGTGGGGATATATCTTTGAATTTACTAACCAGCCTCATTCATATTCAGTGTATTTAAAGTATTTTAATTTCAAAATCCATTGACCATAACAAATGCATACTCACAAAATCATACAATGAGACAGACAAGAAATAGGGATGCAAAGAAAGTAGTAATTACCATTATCAAAGTAAAATTTGTGAAAGTCCATTCCTTCGACTAAATTACCTAGAGCCTCTGGCTCAAATGCGGTCAGGTGAGGGTCACAGATTTTCCTATAAATGGTAAGAGAACAAAACATCATTAATTTACAGCATTTACTCAACTGTAAGCTAAGGCACGATATTCATACATTTTTCATTTCCTACGTTTAAGCTTATGAAGACAATGGATGATTGCTGAGTGGTTATGAAATGATTGAGGAGAAGTTAAATTATGTGTAAAAGATAGTAAGCACTGCAATTTTCTGGTATTGGATTATTTTTTCCAAAGAGAAGAAATTTCATAGAACATGTTTCAATTGCCTGTAAATCTTATTACATCTAACACGTAAGAAAATGTATGCATAGCGTATACATTTTTGCCATGTATGCTCTGTTATTGCCTCTAGTCTGTCAGGACAAAATGCCACAGCTATTGGATTGTATTGACACATTTTAGTAACACTCCCTACTATAAAATTTCATAAAAATCCACTCAGCAATTCTCACATTTTTACATGTGGACTGACTGACACAGAAAAAGACATGGCAAAGCTAACAGCCCCATTTTTGCAACTTCATTGTGAACAACTCAGAAATTGATGATCACTTCATTATCAATGATATTGTCACATAATATTTAAACAGATATTGTTAAAAGATTAATTTACTTTTTGTCCAATTTTACTTGAAAATACACTGTTTATAGAAACACTAGTGGTTATCAACCATTACAGATTTCAAACAACTAGTTGAGCTGAAGAAAGTAGAATGCAGGTCTTTACAGGACTCTTGAAAAAGAAGTGGCCTGCTGTTCTATCATATTTAATATACATATGATAAGCTCAACACTAAACGCTCCTCTTTGAGGTTCAAATGCAACCATTTTTCTGTTTTTTGATAATGTTTCAGAATTCACTAGAAAGATGACCCTTTGGAAAAGTCCATCTCATTAGTATGTAAAATGGAACTTACGTGTATGCTTCATAATCTCCTGTGTTGATTGCTTCTATAAGCTGTTCAGTCATCTTAATGATCTCCTGTTTACGAGCTAAGGAGCAGAAAAGAAAAGAAATATAAGTACGACAGAATAGGTGATTGCACACTATCTCATGTTCCAGTGTGTCTTGTTTAAAAATTACATCTTAAACCATCTGAATGAATACTGAATTAAACATTTGACTTCAATTGACATGGTAATGTACAAAATTATTTTTATCTACATTTTAACTTAGGCAAATAATTGTGGCAGAAGTGAGTAGCAAAATACTTGGTGTACGATATATAATTGCTTTATTGCCCCCCCCCTCCCCCCCACACACATGGAGTAACAACAACCTGAAGTATTGTTAGGGCATCTGAAAATGGTCATAAACAGAATAAAACACAGTTCATATTAAACTTACAATTTATAAGTGTTAGGTTTTAAAGCTCAGATTGGCTATTCATGACATCATATTAGTTGATAAATAATTTGGGTTGAAAAATTATAATATAAATTATTTAATAAAGGTGTACAAGATAGTTAATGTACATATGTCAACATGGCAAAGTTATTGGTCAATAAACAAATAAAACCAAGTCTGCATGGATCAATATTTAAAAACTCAAACAGCACAGGTACCACTCTACACCACCACAACCACAAAACAGGTGTAAACTATCATGTAGGAGTATTATTACTACACAAAGACTGTCCAAACAAAAACATTAAAAAAACTAGATTTGTTAATTTCATCATACTAACCTTAAGTTTGTGTAACCAGCAATACCAACACTTTAATATACAGAATTCTAAATCATATTCAATACAATTTTGTACTTTGGAAGCACAGATGAAAGCACTGTCCACATTTCTTCCTCATATACCCATTATGGAACACTAATCCCGACACATGCTGACACCATATATTGTCATAAACTAACAATCACAACAAATTGTAAAATGCAAACTTCTCATCACTGTAAAAATGCAACATAAAATATCTTCCAGATAAAAGTAAGTGTACATTTATTTTACATAACTTCTTTTTTAGTAGTTAATAATAAATAAAACATAGACTTGTCTATCATGTTTAGAAAAGAGAGAGCTGCCAGGGAAGTTCACAGTTGAAAATTTAATAAAAATGTACTTTTTAAATGACTGGTATTCAACAATTACTCAACTGCTTCATAATAAAAATTAAAGCCTTATTCTGTACCTCATATCTTGCTTTGCAACTGAAAGAATAACTGAGAATAAACTCAGATTTTAAATTTGTAATTGTAAAATAATTACTTTTTAAGATGGCAGTCATCATAAGATATCATTAATGAAATATACTTACGAAAATTCCAAAAATCTTTAACACAACAGTGGGGCTCAATAAAAGAATTTTGGGAAGTACTGCTATAAATAAATGCCATTAATTAATTTATTACAGTATGTAAATAAAGTCATGACATCAAATAAGACCTCTAGTTAGGTTTTCAAAAGTAGTTTCTTTATAGAAACAAAAAGTGATAAGAAGATAACTTTTATCGATCACGTGATGTGACTTACACACAATCCAGCAGGCCATGTATCACTTTACATTAGCAAACTGCTGAATTGTTAACCCCAGAGTTAAAGTCTGACAAGCAGCCATATGAAACAGGGGCTTAAATACCTGACTTCCACATAATAAAGTTAAAAAATTTCTGACCACACTGGAACAAGTATTACTTGCAAAGTACACTTCATTCCTACCTGGTTTCACAATGATAAACTAATCTTCAATAAAAGTCATCAGACCAAAATATAACTGTACAATTTGTAAAAACACCAAATCCTGTACATTTGACAGCCAAACAGTGCAAAACGTGCAACTTCCAAGAGAGAAATCACAATACAGAAATGAGAAATAAACATTACAGTACCCCAGTAATATTTGTCACTATAGATGTGTGCAATAGGTAGCCTCTTACCTGAGCCATGGGAGTTCGTAGATAACTGCGAACAAGTCTTGTTTGGGCAGAGAATCCTTATTTCTACATGTGAGGGGAGGAGACCACCCAAATAGATTAGAAAAATCTGTATGGCTAATACAAAGGCAACCAAAGACTTCACACAGTGCTGTCAAAAAACAAGAAGTAACACTACAATTTGAAACATCTACATTGTGGGCTGTTGTATGTTTATGTGTACCTCATTGATGAATGACTTATGTACAACTTTTATAAGTTTGGGGTTTGAACATAACACACAGTACAAAAAGTATTATTACAGATAGATGCAGGAGTTTTCTACAGATGTCACATCTGTTGAAACAAGACCTGTAAGACAAAAAATAAAGTTATTCCAGATAGTGTTCTTCTGGGGTTGTAATACCGTGTTGTTATGTAGGTGAGTTCCAACATTTCAGAAGAACCTGCTTTTGTCTTCTGGGTAGAATACAGAGGCAGCTGGCCCCTTCAAAATGTTGATGACCATCTACATGACTACATGGTGTCACAGCCAAGAAGATAATAATCTGAATTTGTTTTCACCTCTGCTCTTATAATGAAAATATTGAATTTAAAAATCTAAAAATAGTTGAATACATGAGTAAAAACTCACTGTTTTGAAAGAGGATATCCATTATATGCTGCTTTGGTCAATTTATGTGGCAGCAATACACCACTTCCCAACAATTATTTATGATGCCATTATATCAAATATTTTCCTCTTAAAAATACTTCCCATTTGTCTGCCACATGGAGACAGTAGTGGACATGTTCAGATGGAAAAAGCACAAACAACCTTTTATCCCAGTCTGAGTATTTAACTGTGTAAACAAGACATTTTAGTTCTAAAGATACCGAACTCCAGCAAATGGGACTCTTTCAGTCAATTATAACTTTCAAGTGAAGAGAATCCTTTAAAATGTGAGAATAACTACAGAAACAGATGATTATTTTATGAGAACATAACATTAAGTTATATCCTAGATAAGCCCAATGACACTGGAATGTCTTCATTGTGTATTCACAGCACTGAGCAAAGGAAATATACATGCTTCTTCTGAATGAATCATACTCACTTTAAATGGTTGTGGAGATTGTACTTTTGTTAAAAAAAGAATCATTCAAAGCAATTGAAAACAGATAAAATATCATTTGTATGTAAATATATGTACAAATAAGGATGCTGATCTTACTATTATTTACATAAGTATGAAGTATGTGTGTATCATAGCCGCAAAACTATGTAACTTATAAAAAGTTCATTAAATATCTTAGTATATTCACTAACATATAAGAATGCTTCAATGGTTATATACATTTCTCAGAAAAAGCAAATGTAAAGAATCATATGTGTGTGAAACATTTCTAGTTCCAACAGCCTAAAAATAATATAAAATACCTACGAGACTACGCAGCTTCAGAACTCAGAACACTTCAATCAAGAATCTGTACTGAGGTTGAGGTTGAGGTACCTATGGTTGGAGTGGTTATGATACTTCTACTTACTGCAAAAGATTTAGCTTTTTCATACAAGATTTCATGATTTCATGAAAGCTCATTGCTAATGTGAATCCTGTTTCTGGATGACTGAAATGTGTAGATGTGTGCTGTATTTAAAACATTTTTGAAAGCCTTATCATAAGGACAGTAATATATCTGGTGCTCAGTAAGATGGTTTAAGTCCATATAAATTATTTTTGATTTGTAAAATTCTTACAGAGCTCCAAATAAATGTACAAAATGCAGCCCATGTCTACATGGTGTCACCACTCACAAACAGGAACCATATTTATGTTCATAGAGTCCAATGATGAAAGGGGTTACATACCAAATTAGTCCAATATGACACAAAAGCTTATAGCACTTACTTACAGAAGACACTTCTGTAATATATCAGTCAATAAATAAAGCACATGAAACATAAATCTTAAAGAGTAATGCATATTCAGTAAATTACATTATATGACATAAATAAAGTTTTTGCCACAGAAATTAAAACTACTGAACTACATTAAAAAGCAATGAAGTACTTGTAAAGGTACAGTGTAATAACTCATTTTTAAAATCTAATTTAATTTGATACGCTATTTCAGTAACTACAGCTGGCCATTAGTACTTAAGTAAGATTTAATTTAAGATAATATTTGCTGAATTAAATAAAAACCTTCTGCCCCAATATAATCTTCTATAAACAGAAAGATTGCAGAAAGAAATAAAACTTATATCAGTTTACAAAGAATTTTACACCTAAATTTTCATGTAAAACCAATTCAAAACTGATAATTCCCTGGTGTAAGATGATATTCTATGTTATATGAACACAAATTATTGTACAAAGGCATGATTTAGGATTCCCACTGAAAGAAGTGGTTGATTATTAACAATGTTAAAGAAAATCAATCATAATTACCCAGAATACTTCTACAGCATGGTACTTGATATAACATAGATTCACTGAGGACACAAAAATTTGATTATTGGCTTAGCATTTTTGAAAGTATCTCATTAAATCGTCATGGTCACTATTAGGTTCTCATGATGGACTTGCATTATGATATCTATCAATCTAAATATGACTGCTTTTCAGGCTACTTACTGATCTATAACCTTCTATCCCATCATGTAAATTCACTGGTAAGCAATCCGTTAAAGTGCCTTTCAGAAATATTTCAGTATACTAAATGTGGTAACACACCTCAACCGACTACATTTTTCTGAATTAGCTTCAGTTATGGGGCATAAGAGTATACTCTAACAGTTTTTAAATCTCAAAAGACTTTTAATACAATTTCATTACATTACAGATTTATATGAGTGTGCAGTCTAAGAAAAACTCCACAGAGTACTGTACCTCAGAAACAGTCACTCAGCTAATCAAGAAATGTCAAACCTGAAGGTTCACTAGCATGTTCACAAAAGCCTACAATTGGTCCTGTCCTGATCCATATGAATCCAGCTCACATCCTTACACCTTACTTTGCTAAGATATTTTTAATATTATCCTCCAATTTACATATAGATATCTCTTTAGATTTTCTGATTACAATTGTATGTACATTTCTCATCTCTCTAGTACATGTGCTACATTCCCCACCCATCCCTTTCTCCTCGACTTCATCACCCTAATAAAGACAAAGGTAAAGAAAATTAGAATAAAGGTGCACTCATATGTTACTCCATATAAAATATTTTAGGTTTGTTTTACAAAATGTTGTTTTTAATTTCATCTCTTTTTGCCAAATGCTACCAGGAAAATCAGACAAAGGAGGATGCAATGCATAAAACATGCAGCTAGCACATATGGGAGAGAATAAAAATGCACATAACATTTTTGACAGGAAACCTGAAGGTAAGAGACCAATTGACAGACCTAGACATATAACAGAAGAAATTATTAAAAAATATCTTAGACACACAGAGTATGAGGATATGGACTGAACAAAATTAAACACCGCATTTATTTTTTTTATATAAAAGAAATTTCTCACATACTTTAAATGCTGGAAGAACTGTTTACAGAGAACCAGTGACTGAAGTATTTGTTTCTGTAAAATGTAAATTGCATGTCTACACAATAAAAGCCATACTTTAACACTTCACTCACCATCTGCATCACCAGAATCACATCTCAATAGCTGGTATCCTGCAATGTCCGAATCCTCTGCCAAACAGTTGTTATACACAACAATAAAATTAGAAAAAATAAAGTAAATAAACAGATGTGAAAAAGTATACAAGAATGAGACATGCAAAATGCAGTGAGAAAGAAGTCTGGAATAAGATCTGGATATTTTGATGCAATTATATATGCAGTGTCAATAGTTAATGAAAATACTGGTTAGTACATCTGCTTCTAGATGAATGAAATGACATACTAGAAGGAGTTTTATAATCTTTTCTTTAATTTCTACAAAGCAACAGTTTTGCAATTAAAGGAGTAAAATTCATGTCCATGCAATTAAATCTAGATTATAGTACAAACATGCTATGTCCACCTATTGCAATTTTTCAAGTTTTCAATCCTCTGTCAAAATTTGATAAAGTTTCATCTGGGATATTCTTACCAAAAATTCGCTACAAAATAATTTGCCACTTGAAATTTAACTTTTGCATGGTAATAAATATAATTTGCATTTTATTAGTCAATTACAACTGTCACTAATTTTAAATATATTAAGTTTTAATTTTTATCTAAATATTCATCACATGAAAATAATTTTAGATATAAATTACAAAATATGCTAAGATAAACATTTTGTAATATATGTTTTTGTTAAAGTATATAATGATTTGCTTGAGATATGTGATATTTGATTTCAGTTTAAAAAGTGCCTATAAATGTTGTATGCTTATATTTTTCACTCATACTACCACACAAATAATTTTATGGATGCAAATGTCTATTTTTTAAAAGACCATAAGCAAAACATTTTATAACTTGTGTATGAATTCTAGTACCCAGTAATACATAACAATCACACATCTGAAAAACAAGCACATGCAAGACATATACACAGTTAAGCTAAATGAATACACAAAGTAAACTCAACTTGTAAAATATCAAAGTAATGTTTTAAAAATATAATTTGTTGTGTCATAGTACACAATCTTCTATAGAGTTCAATGGCTGAAGGGATATATGTATTATTATAAAAATAATTTTATTTTGAACAATTCTGTCCAAATTCTATGATACATATATTGGGAATTTTCTCAGTCTGTCTGTATCTAGGATGGCATCTGTAAGACCCCATAATCATTTTTTTCAGACTCTCTGAATAAGAAGAAACTGGTTATAACTTTTGACATGACCAAGATTTTGACCAATACTTTCCATATACACGTTTGGGAACAATGACATGCCTGCTTTGTAATTATCGATCTCTACAGTGAAATTACTGAAATAGTTGTTAACTGTAAACTGCTTGTATGTAACCGTATGTACAAACTAACAAACATGTAATTCAATTTTGGGCGAGATATTGCTGTTCTGAATGTCATAAATATAAACTTATAACAAAGGCCACACCTGAACACAACACTTACCCCTTTGATACGATTCACTCTGCTGACTTAAATGACTTCTACGATTATATGGCATATCCAAACTTTTGAATTCGGTTAGTGATTTAGCCTTTCTTTCAATACCTGCAGATAGGAAAAGAAAGTACATGCAACATTCAGAACAGTACACAAACAATGAAGCATTCTGAGAACAAAGAAAATTGAGCATCACACAGAGCAAAGTGGTCATAGCATTCATAAGCAATAAAAAATTAAACAGAGAAAATAAATTTCTACTTTGATTTATACAGTGCCCAAAATCCATAACAACCATTATAAAAGTAAATAAAATGGCTTATAATTGGCCCAAAGAACCCAGTTATTATGCATAATTCCATTTGCATTGTAAGTTGTTTTAATTATATGTAGCTTGTGCCTGTTATGTGAGGACAAGAAAACTGTAGAGATGTCTTCTTCACAAGTACAATGCATATTTCTTATCAGACTTTAAAATAATACTGTATTCTTACCTAACCTCTGTGTCTGACTTATGTGAATAGTTTTGGACTCTCCTGTACCAGATAAACTAGCAATATTTAATTAAACAAGAAAGTTTTATAATATAGAAGTGCATTATGTTGCATGACTTTTGATCACCCTGTAATATGTAATTTATAAAAAAATACTTGCTATGCATATTGTGATGACTGAAAGTGAAGAACTACTGTGAAATCCAATATGTGATACACAACACGCTGAACAGCAACAAGACAGCAGACTAACAAAAGTTTTACTTTGATGCCACTAAAGTGATGCCATACACACAAGATAAAGCAATGATAGGTGTGCTTTTTGTGAATTATGGCCCAGTATAAATAATAAAAATCAGATGATAACATTGCTATTTGCATTGTTTGAAGAATACAACACAGCTGATAAGAAAATCCCTCTCATGTTTTTTACTGTATTAACCCTGTAAGAAATAATTCACCCATGGCTTATCATAAAACTTAGGTGTGGTCACAGATGGGAGTGGACAATTTGTGAAAGAGACTGGAAGCCAGAAAACTAAAGAAAGAAATATCTGCTTCAGAATCAAACTGTTAACCACACTGTGCCACTGTTTCAAAGAAGCTTCAACAGGGCTATGAAAACTGAAGATCTTACACACATAAACTATTGTACCTGGATCTCTGAAGTGAGAAGTGAATATTTTCTTAAAAATCTAATGTACAAATTGTCAGTGTTATGAAAAGGAAGTACTCTTGGATGGCATAGTCATGTTTTGGAATGTTTGTGTTATATGTAATTAAAAATATAAATGTCAAAGGCAAAAACAGTTAAACTGTTATACAGTAAAGTTTGCACAAGCAGACTGTGTGTGTAAAACGTTAACATACAAGGGAACAAATAAGATACTCCTCTGTTAAAATCTGGATTACTGTAAATGTAAAATAAATATTATATTAATATGTATTGGGTATCTAAATTCTCTAGTCCCCTATTGCACAGCAGGATATCTATTTATACGAAGCTCTAACAGTTATCTTACAAATGTTGAATATAATCAGTGTTTATGAGAGACCTTAATGAGTAATATACAATAAAAGTAACTGTCACCAGACAAGTGCAACAACCTATAACAAAAGCTACATTATGAAATATAACATGCTATGAAAGTAATACAATGAAAACATGCAACAGGCTATGAAAGATAATAAAACCATAAATTACTTCACTCATAGTGAATTGTTAAGTAAGTAAAAGCATAAAGACTTTACAGCCAAAGATTAAAAATTTGTGAAGAACAAAATAAATTGTTTCTACTGACTGCATTTACAGCAGTCTTGGTGTTAAAACATTCTGGCTGCACAGTACATGGTCAGGGTTTGATTCCCTAGATGTATGATGAGAACTTGTCTTCATCACCACATACAAAATAACTCTGGAGTTAACTCTACACCCAAAAGTACACACACTGCAAGATTATAAATTTACCATTTGTCCAAGGTTTTTTATAATTTCTCCAATATGACCGATGTCAATTTACATACAAGGTGGGATTTCATGAAACCACCATGAAGTTGCTTTGGATAAATGCTGACTTCATTAGATACTCAGATACTTTTGTTAACAGTGAACTTTCTATTTGTAGGATTGTGTTGTGATGAGTACTAATCAAAAAAAAAAGCTGACTGCATTCTGTGGTTAATGTATCACATACTGAAGTTGTGTAATACCATTACAAACTTTTTTTAAGATAAATAAAATCAACAACAGTGCCACGCATAAAAATCTTTTGAGTTGGCAAATAAAAAAAAGTACAACGTGCAGCGAGAATCTGTTTTTATCAATCTTGTTACAAAACCCTATCATTCATTTGTATAAACCCTGTATTATAAATTCATATTACTGTCAGTACACTGTCTAAAACAAATGTCCATTAAATTAAAGGCAAGCAAAGTTTAGAGATGGTATGCAAAATTTAACAATTTCAGACTCAATGGAGATTAACAATAATTTTCTATATTCATAATACAGCAAACAATGCAGGAGATATTATCAAAACCATCAGAGCTTGGGAATCCTAAGATTAAACACATACATTCTTGTTTTTCACACTATCAACATGCAATTGCATTTCTTTACAATATAAATAAATGACTGGTTAAAGTTATAACATGCACTGTAAAGATGAAATTAACAGCCATGTTAAGAGCATTCATAAAAGTAACCACTTTGATTTATAAGAGAAATTATCCAGGTTTAACAACTTACCCAAGATAAATGGATTCAACAAGTTAACAAGCATGTGCAAAACACAATAGCTGTGTACCATACAGCTTATGAAAGGACCGATTAGGAAGTTATACAGTCTCCAGTGTAGGAATCCACAAACACTTTCCATATGTCTTCTGTCTGAATAGAAGTGTACACCATCTTCGCCTTCTTCTTGAAAGAATGAAGATTTAGCTGATGGGTATGAATGTACTTTTGTACTGAGGGAACATGTTTTCCTTACTTGTGGAAACACACTTTTATGAGACTGCACACATTCTTATCTAACCAGTATGAGTAATAATAATCAGTGATAAGCAACCATCTTTTACATAATACCAATATAAAAAAATTCCTGTCCACATTACAAGCCAAATAACAACTAAAAAATTCAGACATTTTGTTTATGTTATGTTTCCAATCATCAAACGTTATTAATATGGATATGAATCAGGAAGACAGAGGTATGATGCCTGGCATGAGCAGGAATATTTTCATCATCACTGCATTCAAAATGGCTCTGGGGCTCACCCAGTCTGCTATCCAATTGGATGTAACCACTCAACTCCATCTAGTAACAAGGTTAAAAATGTGTGCAGCTATACCTCCACTCATGGCATAGTGGTTAAACACAGCAAAATCTTAACCCTTTTATCATAGTTAGTATTAACACAAACAAAGATCCTTATAAAATTGAACTGATGTCAGAGGTAGGTGCACATAAAACTTAAGAAAAATATTTTTATGAATTACATTTCTAATTTTATGCAACAAAAATGTCATTTAGAAACTTGGGACTATTTCTTTGCCACGAACTTTCTTGCATTTGAATATTTGTAAATAATAATATTTTTTAGTTCTTAATTAATCAGAATAAATGTAGGGGTTGCTCATCACTTGTACAAATAAAACTTACATTAGTAATTCCAAAGTACACTGAACACACTTAATTTATATAAACAAATTAACATTTACACTACAAAAATTAAGAATACATACCTACTGATGATATTAACTTGAAGAAGTAATTTCAAAAGAAAACTGAAACAGTTCTTCCAAACGCTTAACTTTTTCAAGGCCAAGAAAAATGGAAAGATGTGTGTTCTTCATACTGTCATTTACTATCACACCAAAGTTTCTGCTGGTTAGCTAAGTAATGAATAAATCCCACTTATTTACACCAAAAAAGTCCATACACCTACACATCATTCAGCGCTGATTCCACACCCTTGGATTACATATGTTTCCATGCAGCTCAACTTGCACAAAAACAAGAAATGCCAAAGGCAGAAAATAATATTTTAAATTCCAACTGGAAAATATGTCTATCCTGTCTATCCCTATGTAAGAAAGGATCATTTTGAGAATAAATTCTGCTTTCTCTTCAGGTGGACAAGTAGTGACTTACAGAATTAACAAAGTTAAAATCTATGCAGAAAAAAACTGCTGACACAATTTTTTTGTGTATACAATCAGACGATATAAATATCATCTGTTTGTGTATATATATCAATGTAAAGTGTTGCTAGAGGCTGGAAGACAAATGAATTAAATTCATTCAGTTACCAAGACAATTAAAGAGTACTGGTACCCCTGACTGTGGTTTGTGGCACCACTGCATTTTGCAATCATTTTCTAAATTCTTCACTCATAGATAATAACATGCCAAAGAAATATACTGCAACATTTCAAACAAACACATCACTACAGATAATCACACAATTAAATAGGAACCGGTCTTTTAGCTGCAGCTCGTTCAGTTAGTAAGGATGTGATGGCACAACTGAAACGCATTAATCATGGGCCACACACTAACACCATGCCAACAAATCACATCATATGGAAGATGACACACATTATCTTTATCCTATCATCCATTTCCTACTAATTTTATAATTCTGGTAGTCACTGGCAACATTCAGTACTAAAAGTTTTATATAAAAAAACTGGTAAATATTTCTATGAATTTACTATGAAACTGTTTCAGAATTTCATCTCTGTAACTTAATTCTGAGTAAAGATGAGAAAATGCTAAAGTTAAATAAAATTCAGTTAGATTTCGTTCTTGTAGGAGGTACATGAATATCAGAATGTCCCATTTCAAACCAATCCAACACAAAGAATTTCCGGTATGTTTAAAAATCATATACTTGAGTCCTCATCTTCAAAGGACTGAAGCAAGTATTAATTTGATGATAAAAATAGGTTCAAAATGAGCTATCTAGAAAATTAATAATTAAATTTAGGCCAAATGTATGGGGTTTTGTAAAGACATTAATCAAGAGGCAAGGCCAGAAATGGGTACAAGTAGGGTTTTGAAAAAATGTAAATAAAGAATGGCTATGAATATGCACGGAACAGCACTGACCTAGTTGAAATATTTATCTTGAACATTTATGGGAGTTTTATCACTCCTAATAAAGAAACATTTCAAATTTGAAATCCAAAATTTTTCTCTATTCTTCTCCACATTAAACAATGCTGAATTTAAAAATATCTTGCTTGAGAATACATGTACCAGCAGTACTATTTGTTACCAAGTTTGTTTCCGGGTTTATCTAGTGATGCTATAATGTAAAATTTCACTGAGTTGGGAAGAACAAGTTATGGCAAATTTCCTGAGGAACAGGACAGCTGACTGCCTGGCCCAAATGCACAGCACCACTTTGCTGCTGAGAAAAACCTACTTGACCATTCATTACTTCCTTATGTATGTAGAGACATCTTCCATATCACATAATTTTGTGCAAAACTCACACTCAATTTTATACCTTGTGCCCCCTGTAAGAGCACAGCACTAAGACTAAGTGTGGACTTGCCACTGGAAGTGCCTGCAGCTTGGCCGGCCACTGCTGTTATCACTTTGGCCATTAGCGCAGGTGACTGTGGAGGAGTTGAGCTGGGTGCAAAACCTAGTACAATGAAGCGTGTTCAACAATGAAAAAGACAGCAAGTAAAGAAACAGAACTCAGGGATGTTTAACCTACAGCTTACATGATCATAACATAAATCTGGAAACTGAGGAGAAAGACACATATTTTGTGAAAATATAAAAGATATGAAGCTTCATGGAATATAAGATTTAACAGTAACAAAGATCTAATATACTCAATACTATTTTAAAAAACAAATTTCAAAGTAAAGGTTAACAAAGAAATTACAGTCATTCCTCCATATTCATGAATTTGCTATCCACAGTTGAGCTCCCATCAATTTACCATGGATTTTCTTTGAATGTTTGCATGCTACATTCTCATGAGATTTATATAATTTCTCAGCATCACACACACACATATATGTGTTACATTAAAGTCAGTCTTCACCTCACTGTTGTACTAGCAGCATATCATAAAATCTAGCTTATCTGTTTGTATTTTTGCACACCCTTGTCTTCAAAAAGAAAGATAAGTGATGTTAATGGCATAAATAGAAGTGTAAAAGCCATGAAAGAAAAGAATCATACACATTTCATTTAATAGACATATTATATATTTATCATAGTTCATGCCCTTATACACGAACATCTTTAGAATGAATACTTCATGAATGTGGAGGCATGCTTGTGTATAACATTAAGTGAAAGACTGCCCACTTCAAAAGCAAACACAAAGACATCTCATTTCTTGATATCATTAATACACTTCCTGTTCAGTCACATGCTGGACTACTAGTCTGTTACAAGGTAGAAACACTGCGACAACATATTTAGCAACAGTAATAAAAAGTCTATATAATTTTTGTGTCAATGAAATGATGCTACTAGTGTTATTTATATCTCATGATTTCAGTGTTAAAAAAGGTTGTACATAGTGTGGTTACACATAATATAATTATATTCATCTGTTACCATATTATTGCTGTTAGTATGAAACATATTTGTTGAAGAAACAGTGCCAAACTCTAACATGGACATCAGCACCAATAATCTTGTAGATATGGCTACTGCAGAAGAAGTAATATTAATAAAATTATGTGAAAGAGGTCAGTTACTGGAAAGAAAGAAGATTGGCAAGACCAAAACCCACACAAAACAACAGACAGATGGTTACTATATAAATTATAAGTATCTGTTACATTATAATTCTTTTATATAATATTTCTGGCACTTTTTAAAGTGGAGTGGAAAAGTCAGCTGTGTATTCAAGAACTTTATGGCAAGCTTAATAAGACAGAAAAATCCTTCTGATATTTTTTGAGATGTATACAATCTATCTTTGACAGATTCATCTGGCTTGGAAAAGTGATGCCCTGGAAAAATGTGTCCCCTTAATTAGAACATATTTATTATAATTTTCTTCCTCCTTATGGGCTTACAGGCATTTTAAAAATTAATTACTGGCTCTGGCACTATGATTTTATAAACAAATAACATAAACTCAGAACCTGTTGCCAAAATATTTGTAAGTATCATAAGGTGTCAACATTGAATGTTCATAATGTAAATTACAAATCCTTGTGCTTATTCATCCACATTTGATTTTTAACTTGCATTCATAGTTTATGCCTGCACAATAATTTCTTCACAGACTTTTATAATGTTTTTAAACTGAATTGTACATTCAATTTAAATACTACAATATGTTTTTAAACTGAATTGTACATTCAATTCAAATACTACAATATTTAAATAATTAAATAATTAAAACATATATTAAAAAGAAGCTCTTGGGCATGCTGCAGATTATTTCACCTTAAAATGAAGCTGACAGTACTGTGTAACCCTTTTTATGTATCACAATTGGTTGTTCTGATCTATCTATAATCAGCTACACTTATCATCAAACATATCAATTGGCTGAAATAACGTTTGTAAACGAATAAAATCAAATTAATTAATAAGGAGGAATTATTTTTTATGATTATACAAAATTATCAATAATAATGAAAATAAGATGGCTGTTTTCTGAGTTGTAGTATCATGCAGTCTGATAGACGTTTACCAACATTTCACAAGTCCTCGCTGCCTTCATCATCAGGGTAGTCACCTTGTTGATGGTACTACAATCCAGAAGACAGCCATAGAATCTAAAATCCTACTTCATAATGTTACAGAATTATGAAGTAAGTATAATGATGAAGAACTTAGAAAATTATAATTAAATAAATAAAATTAAAATTTAAATGAACACACAGTTACAGCTCATGCTGTCTGTAATGCACACCACCCATTGTTTGAAAGCTGTCAATTTATATCAACTGCTGCACCACTGTGTGTAGTTTGTACAACTGATAAAATGTCTTTCAAACCAATGCACTTAACAGATGTATAGAGACAAGTATATGGCAATGTGCCATTATATAATTGCCTGGGAAAAGCAGTTATTTTTAGCACAGCTAAGAGCAAATGTCAAATAAAACATATACTTAGAATCATCAGTCTGTCAAAATATACTCATGCATTTCTATGTATCTTCAAGAATGGACAAGATTGTGTGAGAAAGTGCCTGTATTTGAAACCAGCACATAATAGAAATTTAGTAGAATAAATTGAATTTATGAAATATTCAGTGGCCCTAAGTACAATTAAATGTATCAGTATAACTAATTAACATAAGCATGGGGACATATTTTTCTCTTTACTGCCACATGCAGACTGGTCGGTTCTGGGGCCAAGCCAACTTACTGCCCAATGGATACTGTAGGTAAAGTGGCAGGAACATGAAGCCCATAATCTACCTGCAGCTAGTGCTCAGGCCAAGAATACATGGAACTTTATCTCTAATTTCCCTATACACCTTCATAACATGGTGTTTAGACCTAGGGAAAACTTTACCAATATTTAAACTTTAAATTGTACAGCTTTATGTCACACATCATTTACTGAATGTACACATTCACATAAAGAACGCAAATTAAATTTGCTGCCAGCAATACAAGCCACTTCCTTGTTAGCCTTTACTGTCTGCACTTTGCAACTCACTTATGGGAAATCTATGTATCAAAAAACAATTCAGATAAATATTCCCCACACTGTACTTTGAAGCTACACCTGAAAATTCATATCTAAACATAAGTACATAAAATTCCACAATTATCTTACAAAGTCTCTAAGTGTCAAAGGCTATAGAATAGGTAACATACTGCCTTATTGATGTTTGGAGGCTTGAAACTGAATGATTTGTAGATAAAGAATAAAGTCTCATGAAAATAAAGACTGTAACTAATTGGTAAGGAAATGTAACATGCAACAAAACAGGAATTAAAGGTGACAGAATACTGAAGAAGAAATTTAATGTAAAGTGTTCAGTGTCTAAAGTAAGATATTCCTATAACATCTCTTCTGACAATGTTGAAACTTAAAAATATTGCTGCCATTATACAGTAAGGTTACACACACCATATCAGAAATCTGGTGCATATTTTCAGCCAAATTGCATTTTAAAACATTTATATACTTTGCCATAAATAGAATGGTTACTGTATAAATAATTCATCTCTGATATATAAATCTGATGACCAAAAACTAGAACTTAGAGTATGCATGTCAGGCATTCAAATACCTGATTAAGGACATAATTAATTAATAAATTCTTAAGTCCTATTGCCCATGTATAAACAGAATGTATTTAAAGTTACATTAAATGAAACAAAGGAGGTCACAAAGAGTGATAGGAAACCCAATGTAAGAGGAGGGCCATGCACTGTGGTACCCAAATGATACTTTGCTGGCAAGTATGAAGTCTTCAGGATTGTTGTGCCATATAGTCTCGCAGAAGTTTATCGATATTTGAGATGATGGAGGCAGCAAGTACCTCTGAAATACCAGTAAATTTCTACCAGACTACATGGTGCAACAACCCTGAAGTGAATGACAGGATGATCAGTTAATAATACCTTGGAAAGGATATGGAAGGAGGCAGTACTATCCCAGCATTTTCTAGGAGGCAATGAGAAAAACCATGAAAATCCTCATTCAGAATTGTGTGTCCATCAACCATCTCTGTTCTAAATGTTTACTGCACTGTATCCCCACCTACACTATGCATTGAGGCCACAGAAGTATGTGCCTGTACCCTGATGTCAGTCACACTGTAATAACCTCAATCAATGCCTATGTGGATGACCCTGTTAGCTCATAATACATTTATGTAGGTGCTTTTGTTCCTTCACTCAGCAGAAAATGCTTATAGAACTATATAGTGTGAATAGATTTGAAAAAAAAATTCAAATCTAAAACTAATTCGCATTCTAGGATGAACACTAACTTCACACACACATTCAAATACTACCAACATTCACAAAATGGAAACAATGCACAAAAACAAAAAACTGCTCACTCATTTAAACATAAAGTATACAGACTACTTTTATACAACATGATAAAACTAATTCTTATGTTACAACTTCACAGAGATAACCTAAAATATTGCAACTTCACAGCTTTTGTGAGTATCATTACATTATTTTTGCACATGTCATGATGACACTGGCTTTTTGACATGTTTACAAAATTCTAAATACAGATTTTTTTTAAATTTTTTACAAAAGGCTCAGGTCTCCAATGAACACAGAGCTGTTAAATAATATATTGATCAATCAACAGAATTAAAAAATTTTGGTCCCTTAAGTCCAGTTATATAAAGGTTTCATCTACATATCATTTCTCATTAACAAGACTTCTGAAAATACCAATATATATGACCTTGTGCTATATGGAAGAAAATTATAAAGCTCAGAAACACTAAATCCATAACAAATGATTAAGAAAGAATAGCCAGGTGGATAACTAAAAGCTTTGAAGACACTTCACAGTACTATTAGCAAAGCCACAGAATAAGCAAATTTATGAAAATACACATCAAGTGTAACTCCCATTAATTCTGGTCAAGAGATGGAATTTTCAATGGCATCTGAAATATCAGAACTTCCCAATATGTGCAAATAGAGCTTCTACTTGTCTCCTTGCGTCCAATATTTAAACAGATAAAATTCCATTCTATTTATGGTACCAGTAACAAATCACATGACAGTAAGAGATGTATGTTGTTGTTTGCATAATATTCAATCACTGATGTTCTTTCTAGGTGAGAAGAAGTATAATTTATTTTACAGAACATAGAGCATTTTCACTGCCAAACAAGTCACATATTAATAAAATATGTTGATATATCTTTCACTTTTAATTGCAATCCATTATATTTGACAGCAGAATAAAACTTACAAGCATTAAACTGCTTGGCATTAATTCCTGGAATATAATACAAAAGCTATTAAGCACCAAAGATAAATATTTTATAGCCTGAATAAGAAATACATATGAATAGTAACTTCTTTTACCTTAGAAAGCAAAGAATTCATTGCTGAAAAAGTTTGGTTAGATGCAATTTTCAAGGTTGTCCAAGTGTCACTATCCTGAAAAAAAAGGCACTCTAACTGGAATAAGTAGCACAATATACACAAATAAACTGTGAAGACATTTTATAACAGACTATTGAATGTGCTTTTTCATAAAAGTAAAAGTAAAAAAGTAAAGCCATCCCGCTACATGCCATGTAGGTCATTTGGGGGGAGTGAAGTTATAGCTCCTACTCTTTCTTGACCTTGGCACTAGATGGGCATGAGTGGTCAGCATCACGCCCCAGCCACGCTTTAGCCCCGGGAAAGGACCCCGGTACCCATTGGACAGGAGGCTGGGTGGGCTCCAGAGCTGGTCTGGACACAGAAGCTACAGAGAAAATCCTCAATCCTCTGCCCGTTGGGGATCGAACCCCGGCCGTTCAGTCTGTAGCTAGTCACTATACTGACTGTGCTATCCTGGCTCCTGCTTTTTCATGAAAATTAAATTTTATTAAATTATAAATTTCAGTACAGAATTCACACATGTAAGGTATTAATCTCTTCATAATGCAGCTACCATTTCGTATGTTTTAAATTATTCAAAAAATTAAAAAAAAAAATAGTGACACCTGCACATCCATCTGCACTTAAACTAATCAGCAATCTAACCTTCCTTAAGCACAAAATTCATACTACCTGCAACAAACTTAACAAATAAACAGAAAATACTGGTTCATGCTTTGAATGACCCACTTAACATTATATCAATTATCATTCAAACCCACAGTACTCTACAATATAACAATACATATAAGCAACATTCAAGTGATCACAAATCCCCATACAATTAAACTCTCCAACTTCAGACGCAGTCTTAGAACAGTTTAATATGCTGCCAGAGTGCAGTACCTACCAGGAGTCAGACATCTAGTAGTTAATAATTGCTTTATGGAGAACTTCATGTAAATCTTAAATTACCTAGTGTATATACCTCTTCTGTGCACATTGGAGTGGGTTGTGTCCCTGAAGATGTGTTTGCTGTGTAGTTTGTTCATGTATGAGGTGTCTGCTTCTTGCCACTGGTTTCAATTATGGATGTGCGAATAGTACGGATTTCTAATTATATGCAATCTTATGTGGCTTCCACATGATTTTAATTTGAAGAAAGGTACCAACTACCAGTGTCTATATGATACTCTGGCTGGTTCAACAGATTTTCAGTATAATCAGTTCATACTGGACAATTTTAACTTTTACAAACTGTTATATGATGTTTACAGATTTTGATTTAACAAAATTGATGTCCAAAATTTCAACTTAGGATTATACTAGCCAATCAGGGCCACCACTTTTCTTTAAGAGTGAAATTAGTTTTATCCCATTTATTACTTCATGGATCAAGAAATGTTTCAGACAAAACATAAAACTCAGGGAGAAAGAAAACTTTATAATTATCTATTTCATTATGACTGAGTACATTTCACAGAATGACTTCCAGCCTCTGAAATAAGACTCACTAATAAAGTTCTATGACTGGTTACAACAGTCCTACATAGCTATGAAAACCTTTCATAGACCAAAATAGACAAAAGGTCTAAAGTTCAGTTTTAAGTTTGAATTAAAATATCTGTGTATGGACATCAATCACAATTTTAACCTAGGTTAAGCTGCTAACAGTAAAAGCCTGAAGAAAAAAAATAGTGTTCATGCTGTGAACTTTTCTGACAAGGTTATTAACTTTGTTTTTGTTTTTAGGCAGGAAATGGGCTACTGTGTTTGTGGATAATTTATGGTAAACTGGTTCTCACAAACAAAATATCTAAAATTATGAAGAAAAATGTAGCTTCTGTTTCTGTTGCTTACACTCCTATGATCCTAGGTTGAATATAGTGAAACACAGCTGCTAAACTTTAGAGGTAATATGGTTTCATAGCATGGTCCATCTCTAAGTATACTTGTTATTTCAGCTCAAATACATCTTTTTAAGTTAATCTTTTAGTTATTAACAATAATTATAAGAACATAGAAGAATGTGTATTTCTTCCTCAAATAATGAATTATATGCTCTGTGTATCATATATGTTAGCTACAAATATTCAGTGAAAAAGAAAAGTTAATTCAAAGTACAACCACAAAACAGCTTAAAAGTTGCATTCATTATGGCACCAGTCTACAATTGTTCAAAATGTCATGCATCTTGGTTATTTAGTATAAATGTGAAGTGGAACAAAAATAGTGCCCCAATAATAATTTCATAGTAGCATATTAGTTCTGAACAAAAAACTAGTTAATATGGATCTTATTTCTGGATGATGGCACTGTACAGAAGCAAGTGGCATTACCATCATTTTGGATATTGTTATTGTCACTGTCTTCAAGGCCAAGTACCTGCCCAATGATCCTGGACTATACTCGCAGTTTCATAGGCTGCTGGAAATAGAGCATGGCCTATGGTCCCGTATTATACAGTCTGGCAATTACTTAACCTTGAACACAGAGGAAGTAAGATGACTGTCTTCTGGGATATTATGCATTGTAATCTCATAGAAGCTGACTAACATTTCAACGTTTACTACTTCCATCATCAGGGTGATGAGTGCCCTGATGATGGAGGCAGGAAGCACATCAAACATCAGTCAATTTCTTTGAAACTACAAAGCGTAATATCCCAGAAGGCTGTCATATTCATACAATCCATCGTGAGAACTTAACATCTCATGGACACAGTAAGGTTCCCTAAAATGTCAGCAACATAGTCTACATCTACACACTGCCATCACCTGGAAACGAGACCAACATTAGCAGTAAGCTATCATGAAATGGACATCTTAATATGTTATTCTTAGTAATATGATCAACATCCTTACTTTATGTTATTATGCAATGCTTTAATTCACACTGACATCAGAATCTGAGACAAAATATGCTAGATGTTCTTATATTTCAGCAACAAAGGTAGAAATAAATGTATCAATATTCTTAATATAGCTATATGAATGAAGTTATCTTTCCTGGAAAAGCCATTATTTTTTTAATTGCTATAAAAATCATGCATTTTGTAAGTTTATAATTAAAATGTATAATGGAATGAAAGGATGTATCAGTGACAGTGCAGAAACTTATGATGAAAATTGTGACTCATTTATAAATTTCAAAATTACATAGCAGTGATGAATTTTTAAAATACGAAAAACACACTGTGCAAAATTTATGAGAGATTTCGGAATAGCTGATATTAAGGCCACAGTAAAGAACAAGGATACATTGAAAACAAAATCCAAAGACAAGAACCATGTGGCTCAGTACTTTAGACATATCTCATGTATCAATGCCCTTTACCAGACAATTTTCAGTTCAATTCCTTGCACCACAAGTAAGGGTTAGTTACAACAAATGTAATGATATATATGTAAAACACAGTAAATTTATTTGATCATAACAGAAGTATTTTAATAAAAATTATGAAAAAGCAATTCACTTATTAATTGAAATATTAGTTCTGGTTTACCTTCGGGCTCTTTAGCAATAACTGTTGAGCTCCTGTCTACCCCTGCCTTGTTTAGTTTGTCTTCTGTTGGAGAGTTGGAGAAAGTAGAGGGAGGAGTGCCCCAAGAAAAAAACACACAAATAAACAAAGAGAAAAAATAGTTGGAGAGAAACCTTTGTACAATATGAAAAGTTAAAATATAAGGGCTTCTTATTATGTTACCAGTAGCTAACAGTGAAACCTCAACTTTTAAATACAAACCCCATCAACTTTATGTTACATTCATCAATAAACAGCAGCAAGAAAATGAGCATGATGTAGGAAAAGTACTTCACTTCCCAGAAGTGTATAAACCCATTCTAAAATTTGTTCATCTCAGCACACAGCAAAGATGTCAGCTTTATACAAGACACAATTTAAAAGTATCTATGAAAGACTGAAATCATAAATGAACATACACTTTACATTCTTTTGAAAGAAGGAAGTGAGGTTTAACTGTTTCTAGAACTCTTGCCTCTGGCAATGCTGTCAAATGCTGAATAAGATATGCCCATAAAATTGTTAATACATTTTCACATACTGCTATATCACAAAGCAAAGATGTTTAAAGTAGAGAAAATGTCATACACTTTATGCCAACTCAGTACAAAAATAAAGTATTTTATGGAATTAGCTGCACCTGTATGCTAAAAAAGAAATAATGAATATATTTACATTTTTATAAATTATTGCATCTTTCAGAATTTGAGAGCATAAATTAATCAAAAGGTAATAAATATTTAAACATGGCAGGAACCTAAAGAACTTGAAAGTCTACCCCATTCTGATCTCATGCCACAAAAGTAGAGAGAATAACAGAGAGAAACAGAAGAAAAGAGCAAGAAATAGCATAAATATTGTCAGAAGGGTATATGTACAGACATATGAAGCATTTCTTGGGAAACACATTAGAAGCAAAGATAAGCAAAGTGATAGAAGAGAAATAAGAAATAACAATGGATTTATGATTAAAGCATGCTGAAGAAAGCACGGGATTATTTTTAATTATGAGAAGCATTCCTTCATCCTATAAATGCTAAATACATTCTATGTGATAATATATAAACAGTAAAAAGGGTTAGTTTTCATAACTATAGCCTTGAATCTCAGAGACAATATTTGGTGGCTGTGCTTCTAGGACTAGGAAGCTCAGTAATCGACACAGTCATCGTGCATAGGGCAATGGCTGTGTTGTGCCACCAGCACAGTTACCAAATATTCTCGCTGTATAAGTTATGGAGATCTTTACTGCAACTAAAACTTTTGTATATTATGTAGCATATTGCAAGCAATAATCTGAATTCTACAAATGACAAGACTGCTGCAAGCCATATTCAGGTATGAATAGTCACAGCAGTTTGCAGCTACCAGCTGAAATTTGCATATCATTTAAAAGATGCACTTAAAAACTAGTGCAAAATAAAATGTTATTATACTCACAGCAGAAAGGGATTAAATGTCTCCACTTTATATTTGCATGTCACTGTCAGCTTACAGGAGCAAACAGTAAAAACCTAACATACTATTTACTTTAGATTGTTGTTGGAGAAAAAGATACAAGCATGATAAAATTACCTACATAATACAGCTTAATGTAATATAAACATAGCCTATTAATACAATCCTTACATATGCATCATATAATATAAAAGAGAATTACTTTCAGACTTCAATGTAAAGGCAGGACAAAACTCTACAAACATGTTATGAAAACAAAATAGAATAAAGTAAAAAGCAGCACTTCAATGATATACAAATATATCGTAAATGCACTGTTTGCAGATGGCTGTCTTTCGGGTTGTTGCGCCATGTAGTCTGGTAATAGTTTCCTGATGTTTGAGAGATGCTTGCTGCCTCCACCATCAACCTAATCATGGAGGCAGCAAACACCTCTGAAACACCGGTAAGCTTCTACTACACTACATGGTACAACAACTCAAGGACAGTTACCTTCATACTTGCTGCTATAAACAGCTGAAATCATGCATTGTTTGAAATTTTCCATACCTCACTGTATTTGATGCAAAGTTTATCACACTGCGCAGAGCTATAAATTATTTTCCCTAGAATCCAGTTTCTGTTGTGGTTGCAGTGTTTCACTAGCACAGTGCTTTTTTTGTGTGCACAAAATGAAATAAGAAATCTGTTTTGATCTTTCAGCAAGACTGCTGGATGAACCTGACTCTTGGGCAGAAAATGCTGATTGGTGCGAGACTTGTGTTACAGAGTATGACTCAGAAATAAAGTGACTAAGTTCGTAATAGAAAATAGTTTAGAGCAGATATTCTCAATCTTTTCCGCCACAGCCACATTCATCCTTGCTTATTGATTTGTGGGCTGCAAAGTTATGAATTAGGATGGCAATTTATTAAAAATGTTACTAACTTTTAGACTATTACAAACAGGTTCACATTACTCAGTAATTTATTATAAATAATTAAATGGGAGAGATGTGACAGGAAGCTACCATGATATATTTTAAGGAAGTGTCCAAGCACTTGCTTACAGAAAATATAAGAAAAAATCTAAAAAAATAAAAGTCAGAATAGCCAGCCTCTGGGCCAAGAATCAGAGCAGTGATCTTCAGAATAGAAAGCATGAGTGCTAGTACCTCAACTTTAATGTTATATATTATTTTCATTAATTCATCATCACTACTGACTGAATATCAAAATCTGGAATATACATCCGTGCAAAAAAATTAAGAAGCATATTAACATAAAATGCCATTCTCTAGAACTTCATCCTGAAGCTGAAGTCTACATATTTCTCCAAACACTGGTAACCACCTACAACAGCACACCACATCAGAACCCATAATTCTATGAACAATATGATGTATATTATTTTTACAGATATTTGCATATATGTATCTATTCTACAAATGTTACTCAAACTAATACTGTGACTATATGTTTCTGAATATGACCACATCTAGTTATCAACCTTATAGACTCATAAGAAGATAAACTTTTTAATATATTTAGTATAAATCTGAAAACCTTCTGGTCAGAAATCCATAACACCAGACACCCAACTTGTAAAGCTAAAAGCAGATATTGCAATGTTTTATGAGAATTTCACCACACTGAAAATAATAACAGTTCTGATATGTGATGAAATGCAACTGCACCACACAGCACAAAGTAATGTCTCTCTTTGCCTCCATAAGTATGTTTATTTCAATTTGTAACAACTGTATAAACAACTGTATGTATGCGACTAGATCGATAAGAAATATGCAGCAATGGAAAGAGGGAGACAGTTGCAGTGTTGTATAATAGCAAAAGGGCTGGGCTCTACAGTTTGGAATAAGGGATAAGGAAAAACTGCACTCATTCTGTATCAATATTTTCTTCATTTTTAGTTTGATGGCTTTGATGGTGATTCAGGGAAAATATTTCAAATTTTCCTTTCTTAAAATGTTTTGTTCTGATCCAAGACATTTACTCTGGAGACAGATACTGCTTGCAATGCTTGCCAGAAATAAGGAGAGACTTCACAAATAATGTGACTCAAACTCAAAAGCAAATCTTATAAATCAGCCATGGACACTTACAAACATGAACTGTATAAATATTTTTCTCTGTCAACAATATGAATTTAGAATCTGGAAGATATGATGTATGCATCCAACCTATTTATTCCAACCTATTTATTCCAAGCTATGATACATGAGGCAACAGTAAATAATATATAAGTATTTACTGAAAAGAAAACCACTTGAATATTTTTCTTCTTCTGCAGCATTGGTTAAATCAGACTTCTTCACTCAGTTAAACACAGGTCACAGTAATTGTATTTGTCCATGTTAATCAATGAAATTCCAGAATTGAAAATGCTATTCCATTACCATAATAGAAATGTTAAATTATAATCATATTTGTTATAGATTAAATTCGGTAAATTGTTATTATTATTATTATTATCATCATCAATTTAAATTATTGTAATTATTAAATTTTGTAAACAGCTGCCACAATCTAATTGCGGGAAAATTGTTGGCCGGGACTAAGATTTTTGAACGATCGATGCGATAAAACGATAGTTCGAGGAACGATAGAAGCGGGAAAATGTAACATTATTTTATATGGGATGTATTCGGGACCGAACAAAACGGACGATGCATCCGGGAAAACGATAGTTCCGGGAACGATAGATAGAGGTTTCACTGTATAACAATCCTACCACTGGGATATTCCCTACATCTATTACTTTTTCAGTGTGATGACATCCTATCTGTCATCTTATTATGTGCATAACACACTGAAGAGTACTGTTTGTGCAACAAATACACAACAACAAAAGAAGTGAGATCTGCAACAGATGCGTAAAAAATGTTTGCAGATAACGCAGAGATGTGTAAAAAATATATTATCTATTCAATCTTCAGAAAGAAACAAATAATATCCATATAACATAACTGTATATATGAATATACAAAAAGACAAATACAACATAATATATGTGAGTAAAACATGTTACTACCTAGGTTTGATAATAAAATGTAATGAATTACTAAGTGCGGTGAGAATAAACAAATTGAGAAAAAACTGACTGTTCAAATGACTTATGGTTTTCAAGTTAAAAAAAACAGTTCTTATTCTTGAATCACTCATTGTGAAAATATGTCTTAAACTGCAAGTTACATGTAAATGTAAATGTTCACTATAAATGTCAATCAAAATCCCCTACCTTTACTCAGATGCTTCACCATTAATATATGTACAAACTAAAATAGTTTTGATGTCCAACTGTATATGCGAGATAAAAAGTACTACATTACAAACAAAAATACTTGCTGTAGCTACAGGGGTACACAACAAAATTAATTCATGAGCTGTGGAAGTGGTGGTGACAAAGTGATTTTTCTAAGTAACCATGCAGTAAAACAAATGGCTGTTCAATTAAAAGCATATTGTGCTGGCATAATTCATGAGATTCCTGATGCATGATGTTCCTGAAAAATCAATCCTACTTACATCAACACATAATTTTATTTTCCATCATTAAAATTCAGCTGATGTTGCCATGTGTTATGGATTTATGGACCACTTAAATATAATGGAATGAAATACTTCCTATAATTATTGATAGTAACAGTGTTACTTGTATAAAATTCTCAACCATGCATTACTTGACAAATATTACAAATCAAAGATTAAATCATAACAATAAATGGGTAGGAGACACTAAGAATATATGATAGAGAATTAGAAAATATTCAGGTCTGAAGTTGAAATAAAGTAGAATGAAGATGTATAATAGGCAACATTGCATTTTATCTCTGAGTGAAAGTAAAGATAATGTTGTTTATATGAATAGTAACTACTTTCTAAATAGAAGTTGGTTAGAAAATGGAGGTAGAAATAATCTCACTACTCTAAAGAAGACTGATTCCTACAAGAAACATACCATGATAGTATCAAATCCATTACTACAATAGAAACGCAGAGAAGTCTGTCCACAAGATAAAAATTGATGCATTCTGGTACTAACAAAAGGCCTGTTGTGAACTTTTCCTGCTAGAAGTATCAGAGTACAGTGGCCTCTACATACAGATAGGTCATTTAGAGTGAAATAATTTCATTAAACAAAATAATCAGATATAAAGACTATTGGAAGATACAGAACTTGAATACTGTAAATACGAGTTGTCTAGAAAACCAAGAAAATGGAAATCACCATACTTCAATGTAAGTAAACATATACAGCAGATTCTGGTTAATTCTTTACGTGGAACTTCGCATAATTGGGGTAGCCACTTAATTGGGCCAAAGTGTTCTAGTCCCAACATGTCCCAATTAACTGGAATCCACTCTGTGTGTGTATATATATGAAACATTTCTCACATTCGGGTACTAGTAGGAAAATGGCTAACTTATTTAATGTTACTGAATTTATCACCCTTCAAAAATGTCTTAATAACAGACCCTGAAGAAAAAAAACCTTCCCAATTTTCACTACAAACTAGCTGAATCAACCAGTATGTTAGTTAATGATGTAACTGACACACTGCACATCTGCAGTAGAAGAACATAAAGAGATGCACACAATCCTCATAATTGTGCTGGCTGATCTAAATTCATTAAAAATATATCAAAGTGGAAAGAGAATAATTACTAGCAACAAACTGAAACATTAAGGGTTCATAAATACAGGGTTATTCATAATTCCCTGACACATTACAAAAAATCACAATAATAAACTTTGTCATGCAGATGTTCTTTAGCAACAGAACTTATTATCAATGAAATTCCAGTTATATTTCTATGTGTGCATCTCTGGTCATAAAACAATCAACAGTAATGTGACTGTTATAAAATTACTTTATAAAGGTTAAGTGATTGTTCAAAATTAAATACAAGGCAAAATCTTTTGTGATTTAAATGCCAGACAAACACAAATTTTACTGACACCATTTGCAAGCAAGGTATAAAAGATTATGCCCCTATTTTAAAATGTACTTTTCTTTTGTAGCATTGTTATTATCTTAAATATGTTCTATTTGGTAGTAGATGAAGCCTACTAACACTTTCATAAATCAAAAAATACAATTTAACATACAAAGCATAACTTAAAAGTCTATATCAGTGTTGGAAATCAAACCAATTTATGCAGTTTTTCATGGAAATTAATCTTCAATCACTCCAAGAAATCACAGAAATGAACTTCTCTGTGGGTGTGTAAACAGCAATAGAAAACATATTAAGAGCACACAGATTTTTTGAGTATTTGCTACGAAATTTCTGCTCCAAATGCAAAGGGAAAACAAGGAGAGTAGGCACCGCATTGGAGAATTCAGAAAGAAAAGGAGGGCTGTAACTTGGAAAGGAGCATTTTTTTGTACCCATGTTCATACAAATTTCTTAAATAGTTTTGTTGTACAGAATGCACCCAATTGTGCCAGACCTTTAAGTTACACCTGTATAATATATGCAAGGACTTCATTATCATAAAAATATTCAGTAAAAAGTAAAAAAGTAAACACAGACAACTTTTTTTTAAACATACTGAGAATTTAGCTGTGATTCGAATCTGGCATAATAAAAGCTGAAAAATAAGCACTGTTTACATTTCTCAGGGTCTGTGGCTATAAATACAGTCATATGCTCTGCCTTGTATTGTAAAGAAAGGGAAGCAGCTTGGAATTATAAAATTATCATTAAAGAAGTCAAATATGAACAAGATCATTTATTTTATCTTTACCATCAGATGCAATGACTTCAGAGTAATAAGATGAAAGTTATAGAATAAGATAAACTATCATGTGTTTACCTTTGACATCATCATCCTCCAAGGTCGTGCTGCTATCTGTAGACTCCTTCACCTGCGATCCATCACTCTTCTTGGCAATGATACTTCGGCCTGTGGGAGGCACAAACTCTGAGATCATGAACAAATCATATTTGTACACCAGTAGTTATCTAGTAAAGAAGTATTCACAAATAATGTAATGCTTGAACAGGTAGCTATTTGTATTCCAGTTTAACCTTTAATTACAGGATTTTCCTGGGTAAAAGCATGGCCAGGGCGTGATGCTGACCATTCACCCCCATCTACTGCCAAGGTCATGTGCCTCTATGGCATGTAGGGCAACTTTTTTTTACTAATATCTGATGAAGCTCTTCATTATGTAGTTTTCTCCAGCCTTCTATTTAGGTACAAGCACTGATTCTTAACTTTCCTTACAAATTAAGAAATGTAGGCTTAAAAACTGCTCACTAATATTTCCTGTATAGAAAACTGGAAAATTACCACCTTAGTTTATCAAAACCCCGATTATTATGACATCAAATAAGTGTTCAATCTGGAATGTGTATACCAAATACTGTGAGTGAGTGGTTAGTACCCCCACTTCTTATCTTACAGGTCCCTAGTTCAAATCTCAGTCTACAGACCAACCATTCTACTGAGGTTTTTGTAGTTTCCTCAGTCCCTCCAGACAAATTCCAGCCTAGACCCCAAATTAGGCCACAACCGCTTTCTTTAATATAATTTAAAATTCATATTCATTAATCGCATATCATTCAACACAACAGGGATGGCTGTAAGTTGCAATTAGATAGTCTATAATGTGTAATAATAGATTCAGCTTAAGAAAGAAAAGCTATTCATTAATAATTAAAATGTTTCTATGCTAAACCCATAATCTAGAGTTACAGCTTCCACACTATCTGACTGCAACATCTGGCCAACCCTGTATACCATCCAAGCTACTGACAACATTGTTAAATAAACCACAAATAAATAAATAAATGACTAGAAGATACAACCCACTAACTGAATACACCTCATAACATTTATGCATTAAACTGGGTGAAAATATTTTAAAGATTTTAACAAAACAAAATAAACTTTTTCTCAAACTTATTATGTCACATAGTATCATTCTTTGTTTGTACTGTCTGATAATTCAGACTTGTATGTGACAAAAAACTATTGGTGATACAGCTAAGGCAGATTTAATTTGCTAGCTACACTAGCTAAATAATATACTTTGCTGTAATCAAAACTATATCCATGTATAAATGTGTGATTCTGTTTTGAAGTCACATTAAAATAACACACCTACTTCAAGCAGGACATTATTTGTAATATAAATTCCAAATAAAAACAAATTATTTATCAGGAGAATGAAATGACAAAGCAAACTTCAAGTAATGGACTAGGACAATATAATATACTTATTTATGTTAAATTGTTATATTCATAAGTATGTAACAATGTTGAAAACAAGAACTTAATTATTAAGTTTTTCAAGTTAACTCAATGTGTATTATGTAGGTATTTATGGAACATATAGTTACATTAATAAGATAGCAACCATCAGTAGCATTAAGCATGACTAGCCTTCAAAGATTATGGACTGAAAAAAATAAAGTGATTATTCTATGAAATCATTTTGAATTCTTAATTAGATACATTTTTATGAAACCATTTAAGCAAAGCAACAATTTTAAATTTACAACACATCAACTTTAAATCAAGCAGAAGAAATGAGAATATCAAATGCCACAATTAAGTCCCTTTTTAGAAACTAAAGCATCCTAATTAATTATGTAAACTGTTCTAAGATTTTTCTAGAAAGCATATGCAATTGTTTAAAAGAGAAGTTAATACTGTGCATGTGTCTAATGGCCACTGCATCATCTGTGAAAACAAGGTGGTACAACTCAGAAGTTTTAAAAATTGTATACACTAAAATAAAGTGTTTCAGCGATATGCTTGGAAAGTAATTTATAATAGAGATATATTATGTAGGCAGAGTAAGTAATAACACAGCCATATGGTAAGAAAGAACAGATACTGACTTCCCCCCT